AACAATACTTTCCAATCTCAGAGCATGATGTAAACTCAAAGGATTCTTATGAAATAGCATGTCTGAATACTCTCCCTTTGCACCTAATTTCAAGAGTTAATGGCTGAGCTATTACTGGCTATTACTATGATGTATCATTAATATTTACTGCAATATGCTAGGCATAGGATCTGCTAGTCTTTAAAGACACAATGGTGAACAAAAATTCCACGGGGGAGGTAGGGCTTCAAGGATGGATTCAGGTAAAGTCATGTAGGGCCAAGGAAAGAGGAGGAGTTGCCTGTGCCACTGGGTGAAGAGCGGTGCTAACCATTGCCATAGAAAATCTCTGGTCAGCAATGAATGTTTTCTAATGCCTGCTTTTCAGGCAATATTGCTGGAGAGATGGAGGTCTACGTTTCCAGGAATAATCCCATTTTTCAGATGCTTTAGGTGTTAAGTACAGATGCAAAGGGGCCATCAGATCCTCCTGACAATTCATGAGATTTCACTTTGTAAGTAAAATGTAAACTCTAGGAAACTTTTGGTATTTCTTGCTCATTGCCTGTGGCTGTTGCCATTCCTAACCTTTGGGTAACTAGTATAGATTACTGGTTGTATAAGAATCATTTCTTGGGGGCTGGAGAGATGGCTCAGAGGTTAAGAGCACTGGCTGTTCTTCCAAAGGTCCGGAGTTCAATTTCCAGCAACCACATGGTGGCTCACAACCATCTGTAATGAGATCTGGTACCCTCTTCCGGCCTGCAGGCACACATGCAGGCAGAACACTGTATGCATAATTAATAAATAAAACTTAAAATAATTTCTTGCCTCTGTCAGATGCTTCCTATGCTCATGTTGTCCAAGGGTTACAGTGAGCTGCATAAATCCTCTCACATGGGTTATGACAGTCCTGATGTGGTCGTAGTCATGTTTCAAGGAAAATAAATAATAATCTAGCTATCTATATTTCAAAACCGGGTATGCGAGGCCTTTTGGCATTCTGAATGTTTTACCACCAAATCAAAGGGCCGCTTGAAACAGAACCGCGCTTCGATGGGGGTCCTTCTTTATAAAGAGAAAGGGAAGCGGTGCAAGACACCAGTGCCAACGCCACCGCGTTGAAGAGGTATGCACCACCCCCGGGGAAAGGCCCCCCATAAGCACTCACTGGACAGGTTCCGAGGCGCGACCGGACACTGGCTCAGGGCCTGTGACGCGAGGATGTCGAGTTCCTCTAGGTCGTCCGCGGTGAACTCCGCGTGCGCGCCGAATGGGTCTTCGGGGTCCGGGTCCGCAGTCTCAGAGAAGCTCCGGGCCCGCTTGCTCGGAGCGCTGTCGAAGGCCCGCGATAGACCAGGGAGAGGCGCCGGGCCGCCGCTCTGCTTCCTGTGGCTGTTCGGTGCGGGTGTCCCAGCCATGACTCCTTCGGTCCGCAGCGTCCGAGGACGCCAGGCACAGCCCAGTCCGCGGAAAGCCCGACTTGGCCCAACCGCTCGCGCGCCGCCGCTCACTTCAGCTACTAGCGTCTCCCCAGCCTACGGGCCAATCAGCTGTCAGCTAGCGGGCGCAGATGGATGACGTATACTGAGCGCGCTGTTACACCTGACAGGTTCCTGCCGTCTGGACTCAGTCCGGCTAAGTCGCGGGTTGTGCCTGGGCTCTGTGCAGTGCTAACGGGGCTATCGGGGATCGAGGAGCGTCCGCACCTGTGGCTGTCCCCCCGGTATTGCGCAGAATGCAGGGCATTAGAGGAGCAGTTCGCCTTGAGTCGAGACAGGCAGCCTTCAGGAGTCAGCTCTATTTGACCTCACTCAGCGCGCCTGACCCATCTGCCATGTATCCAGAGACTCTTAGGGAGGAGGCTGGAAGAGCAGACTTGGGGAGGAGGAATGCAGCTGTTCTTCTGGAAGCGGGGATCTTCCAGAATAGCTAATGTTTCAAGTATGTGTGTATTTGAGAAAAGTCTGGGAAGGGTGATCTTGAGAACGGTGTGCCCGTTTGGAGCTGCTTGAACTTTCATTTATTTCTCGGAGAGTCTTTAATGTCCCGAACGCTGGTTGTATAGAGATGAATGAAGCTCAAGAGGTCAAGGAAGGCTCCTTGTGAGTGGTCCTTGGATGGCCCAACAGGCCGAGGGAAAATTGGCAAGAAAAACGGTTAAGAGCCTGACGCATAATGTAACTGAGGAAAATTCTACTTAGACAAGGATACTAGGTAGAATTACTGCGGCAGACAGAGGTGGTAAAACTTCACAGTGAGTGAAGATTTGGGTTGGACTTGGGTATATGATAGGCTTTTATCAGAAGTGATGGACAGAACAGTTGGCAAGAATGGGGGATTAACATTAGAGACCAATAGGATCAGACTTTTCTACTGTGCTTCCTCGGTGCCAGAGTTAGCTTATGAGCCTATCAATCTGCTAAGACATTGGGTGAAAAGGAGAGTGTTCAGGCCTAGAATGCCTTAGGTCTTGTGTTTTGTTTTATAATATATGTTTTGCCTGCATGTATGTGTATGCACCTCATGCATGTCTGATGCCTACAAAAGTCAGAAGGCATTGGCTCACTTAGAACTGCCTTAGTTTTTTTGATTCAGCTGCTAGTAGTTTCCTTTAGCTGCCCAACGTGTTGACTGCTTAAGCCTCCTAGTCCCCTCCTTCCTTGTTGACAGTGCCTTGACATGTATCCAAAGCTGGTCTGGAACTCCAAAACATCTTTCCTCCCCCAAGTGCTTGGATTATAGACATGATCCACCATGTTCAACTGGTTTGTTTTGCTTTGTTTTTTTGTTTTGTTTTTTGAGATGGCCTCAAACTTTCAACTCCTGTCTCAGTCTCCAAGCACTAGAATTGTAGGTGCGAACTCTCATGCCTGGCTGAACACTCAAGTCTTAATAATTAAGGTCTGTGGTTCTGAAAAGAGAGAGGACTGTTCATTGTCAGGAGGGATTAGATTCCACAAAATAAAAGAGAAGTAATTTCTCTTGGGGGCAGATCAGAAAGCAGTGACTGCTGATAAGTTATTTCCAACAGCACAGTGCCAGGCTGGGAGTCAGGTGGCAAAATCTCATTTGTCTAAAGCCCAAAGAAGGTGCTCTTTGGAGATGACCAAAACAAGCTGATTTTTTAAAATTTGTTTTATGTGTTTCACTTACATGTATGTCAGAGACCAGAAGAGGGCATCAGCTCCCCTGGAACTAGAATTACAGTAAGCCATCATGGGGGTTCTGGGAATTGAACCCTGGCCCTCTAGAACAGCCAGTAGTGTTATTAACTGCTGAACCATCTCGCTAGCCCCCAATCTGGTGTTTAACAATTTTGATTCTCCTGCATCAGCTGCTGGGATTACAGGTGTGCTGGCTGGGCTTGGTGGTGAAGATCTGTAATGCCAACTACTCAGGAGGCTTAGGTTGGGGAAATCACACATTTAAGGTCTGGCTGAGCAATTTAGTGAGGCATATATATATATATATATATATATATATATATATATATATATATATGTATATATATATATGTATATATATATAAATACATATATACATACACACATATATATATATATCACATATCACACAGGGAAAGTTTATTACTTCCAGTTGTATGAATGACCTAGAGGGCAAACCAGAAGTCTTGTGTTTCAGTAATAGGGGGTGGGACAGTGTTAAAGTATTTGCATCCTGTCTCCCCTAAAATAGGGCCAGTTTCTGGCCATGATGGCACAAACCAGTAATCCCAGCATTATAGAGGCTGAGGCTGGAGGATTTCAAAGTCAGGGCCCATCCAGTCTATAAAGAGTTCCAGGTCACTTTGTGTGATAAGGTCTACCTCAATTCCTTCCCAAACAAGATTTGTTTCTATTCTGGGCTTTTTTCACTTTGTGCTTGGTAGCAGGTAACATTTGGCAGGAGCTGCCACTTTGCAGAGTATGATCGGGGAAGAGTCACTATTTGTTTTCTTCCAGAACTGGGGTCTGAAATCTAGGGCTCTTTGAATTATCAGGCCAGTTCTCCTTGTCACTGAGTCACATCCCCAGTCCCTTTTTTGGATGCGACTGTTACCCAGTCATGCCTTCAAGTTGTGATTCTCCTGCTTCAGCTTTTCAAGTAGTTAGGATTTTGTAAAGGTAAGACAGAAATAGTCAAGTTGGTGGAACACAGCCAAGGGCTTGGACCTTCTTACTGCTTTGCAAGAGGGTCTTTATATGTTTGTTTGCTATACATGTATTTCCTCACCACTAAGAAAATGTCCAGTATAAATATGAACAGAAAATACAAAGCTGGGCATAGTGGCTCATGCCTTCGATCCCAGCACTCAGGAGGCATGCCTGTTCTAGTCCTGGGACAGCAAGGGTTACATTGAGAGATCCTGTCTCAAACAAACTAACCAACAAAAACACAGTGAGGCTTGTCAGACCACTGTGGCTGCAAATGGACTAAAGGGTGAATAGTAGGAATCAGAAGGAAAGGAATGGTGTCCAGACTACTTCTCAACTGGTGGGTTGCCACCCCTTTTTGGGGGCACATATCAATAATTTACATTATGATTCATAGCAGTAGCAAAATTAGTCATGAAGTTGCAATGAAAAAAGTTTATGATTGGGGTCACAACATAAGGAACTGTATTAAAGGGTTAAAGCATTAGAAAAGTTGAGAACCACTGCCTTAGGGTCTGATTTGAAGAACTGTGGTTTTTGTTTTTTTAAGCACTGAAGAACTTTAAGCCAATGAGAAACAAAATATGAATTATGAGTTATGGCTTAGCAAGATCAACCTTTTCCCTCTTTGCATTTGTCAGATGTGTGACCCAAGCTTGGGAATCCTACTCACTAAGGCAGGGTGTCTCAAATGAACTCCAAACTCACTATATGGAGGCTAGCTTTCCAGCTTGCGTCTGCCGTGAATTAAAGTAGTTTGTCTTTCAACACAAATAGGGCAACTTGGATATTGTGAAAGACAGGTGTTTTTCTTTACAAAATGTACTTCCTTTATACCAATCTCTGTAAAAGAATACCATTAGATAAACAACGACACAAGAATGATAGCCTTTTAATGAGCTGGTTTAATTCAAAGTGATACAGAAAACAGAGGAAACAGCAGGCTCTGGTAGGATCCCAGACTGGGTTTACTTTAAATTCACAGCTGAGGTAGGAATTGCTGAACACTAGAGACAATGAGCCATTGTATTACTCATTTTATTTTTACAAAAGTTTATTACAATGTACAACAGGCTCTAAGATAACACTTCATTCTAGCTGTAGGTGGCAAAGATGTTATAGTAGGGAATCCAGATGTTTAAATAGGAATGGAAGAGGGTCACCATCATCTCAGATATGAGGAACAGCTTATTTTTTGCCAGATTTCTTAATTCCACCTGTGGCTGCAAAGAGAAAAGTTGATTAAGGAAAAATATAGATAGTATTACTTGGCTCTTGAACTGAGCATTTACTATGGCAAGAACAAACATAGTTCCTTTATCAATACCATCTCTCCTAGGCAAAGATAGCGCTCCGCCTACATTATTGTGTCCTTCAGATTAGCTTAGTAGCTTTCCTGCCACAGCAACCCACTTCACAGATAAGTCTTGATGTTTGGTGTTCAAAGTTTTAAGCTTTCATGTGAGAAGTCTTAATTCTCACCTGGTAGTCTTTCTATTTTTGTAGTTTTACTTTTTATTTATGGCAAAGTCATATCCAACAGTACCAGTAGGCTTCAAATTCACTCCTTTTTTGTACCCCGCTCCCCACGCTTTGTTTTGATTTTCTTTTCTTTTTTAAAACAGAGAAAGAACACAGAAATTGATGTGTAGGGAGGTGGAGAAAGTTGGGGGAGGAGAAAACATACTCAAATCATACTGAATGAAAAGAGTTTTCCATCAGGTGTGGTGTTGCATGACTTAATACTAGCACTTGGGAGGTAGAGGGCAGAAGGATCTCTTGTTTGTGGCTAGCCTGGTCTACATATTGAGTTCTAGAACAACCAGGACTATATAGCAGTAATTGCCAACCTTAAAGCTGTAACCCTTTAGTACAGTTCCTCATGTTGTGGTGGCCCCTGACCATAAAACTTTTTGTAGCTACTTCATAACTGTAATTTTGCTAATTAATCATGATGTAAATATCTGTTTTCCAATGGTCTTAGAAACCCATGTGAAAGAGTGGTTTGACCTAAGGGGGTCATGGTTGAGAACCACTGACATAGAAAACCCATCTCAAAAAATTAATCCTTCTGTCTCAGTCTCCATCAGCCTGGATAGCTGTTAGAATTAGTGGTGTACACCACCATGCCAGGGCTCTGCCTAAGTAATCTAACTTTTTTCCCTTCATATTTTATGTGTGCCTGAATGTGTGGGCCAGAGGCTCACCTGGGTTGTATTCCCCATCAACCTTGTTTTGGTTTTTTGGTTTTTTTTTTTTTTTTTTTTTTTTTTGAGACAGGGTATCTCATTGGCCCAGAGGTTGCCCAGTGGGCTAGACTGGTTGTCAGAGACCCCCAGGGATCTGCCTGGCTCTGCCACCACAGGGCTGGGATTGTAAGTAGACACCAGTATGCCTGACTTCTCTCTCTCTCTCTCTCTCTCTCTCTCTTTTGAGACAGGGTTTCTCTGTGTAGCTTTGGAGCCTGTCCTGGAACTTGCTGTAGACCAGGCTGGCCTCAAACTCACAGAGATCTGCCTGCCTCTGTCTCCAGAGTGCTGGGACTAAAGGTGTACCACCAATGTCTGGCTAGAACAAGTATCAAAACAGGCTCCAAAGTTACAGAGAAACCCTGTTTCAAAAACAAACAAACAAACAAACAAAAAAACAAAAGCCCAATACATTTGATACTCAGTAGATAATTAGTGAAATGTCTGTACAATTAATTATGCCTAATATAAGAATGAGAGGTCAACAAAGCAGTGATGGTGCACACCTTTAATCCCAGCACTCAAGAGGTAAAGGCTGGCAGAGCTCTGTAATCTGAGGCTAGCCTAGTCTACACAGTAAGGTCTAAGACAGCCAAGGCTATACAGACAAACCCTGTCTTGGAAAAAAAAAAAGTACAAATAAAAAGAATGAGTGTGCAAAAGAAACGTGACAAAATAAATCTTTTAATAAAGTCGGCATAGAGACACATCGCAGCATTTGGAGGCCTAGGTAGTAAGATAAGGAATTCAAGGCAAGCTCAGGTTGTATCAGGAGACCTTGTTTAAAACAAGAAGGCTGGGCAGTGGTGGTGCATGCCTTTAATTCCAGCACTAGGGAGGCAGAGGCAGCAGGCAGAGACAGCCAATCTCTGTAAGTTCCAGGAAAAGCTACACAGAGAAACCCTGTCTCAAAAAACCAAAAACAACAACCAAGAAATCCAAATAGATAGTATTCTAAGAGAAGTATTTCTAGTGGATTTCTCTTATCAGAAATAACTGGAACTGTAAGTGTTTAGGGTTTGGGGAACTTTGGCATATACATAGTTCAGGAATGGGACCAAATTATGAACACAACATTCATTTATGCTTCACCACCCCCCCCCCCCGCCCCCGCCATACAGACCCAGTGCACATAGCTTGAAGTTAATGTAATCTAATATTTCCACTTCCTCAGCAACTTGACTGCAATTCATTATCCATGGCTGAGAGTAGAAGTTTCTACTTCTGGTGAGGTTTTAGATCTGGAGCATTTTGGATTTACAGATTATAAATGTTCAACCTGTATAGGATTTCACCAAGGTTTAACCTTCTTATACATAATCACAGATTAAAGGAAGGCCCCAGTTACCTGACCTCATTCTAAAACGCAATCTTGACATCTAGAATTTCATTGCTGTGTGGATAAACAAGAAACCTATTGCAAGAGGTCTTGTGGTGACAATTCCAGTATCTGTACTGCACAGATACCAGACAGAATAATCACTAGTTAGAAAATAGAAAATAGTGCTTTTACAATGCACACAAGCTAGGCTGGTGGCACACACTGACATCTCAGCTATCTAGGAGATGAAGGCAGGAGAATCATAAATTCAAGGTCAGCCTGAGAAACTGAGCAACAACACGCCTCGATAGAATGACAGTATAGGTTTTGTCTAGCATGTGTGAGGTACTACAATTAAAAAAAAAAAAAAAAAAAAAAAAAAAACGGGCTGGAGAGATGGCTCAGAGGTTAAGAGCACTGGCTGCTCTTCCAGAGGTCCTGAGTTCAATTCCCAGCAACCACATGGTGGCTCACAACCATCTATAATGACTTCTGGTGCCCTTTTCTGGTGTGCATATACATGCAAGCAGAACACTGTATACATAATAAATAAATCTTTAAAAAAAAAAACAACAACAAAAAGAGGCACAAAAATTAAAAAACAAAACAACACAAAATGGGGTTAGAGTGACAGCTTAGCAGTTAAGAGTACTGGCTGATCTTCTGGGGGAACTGAGTTCCATTCCCAGCTCACAACCATCTGTAACTACAGTCCCAGGAAATCTGAAGGCCTGGTCTGGTATCTCAGGGCATTGCACATACTTGGTTCAGATATGCACGAAAAACTCCCATACACATAAAACACAAAAATACTCATTGTTAAAATTCGGAATTAGGACCACTGAGCCTGTGATTCATTCCAAAGATGTGAAACTGTGAGGAAGATTGGGTTAGCAAGGTGGAGAGAGCATGGGGCATAGGGCACGGCTCCCAGGCACAGCCACAAATAAACACAAAAATAACACCCAAAGCAAAATACATGTTAAGGAGCCTGGACTTTTATCTTTTAGTCTAGACACACCCAAAGGTGACTCAGGACTCAATAACATATAGATAATTGGAGCAGCAAATAAAAGTTCTACAGTCTAGCCTGGCAGTGGTGGTGCATGTCTTTGTCTTTAATTCCAGCACTCGGGAGGCAGAGGCAGGCTGAATCTCTGAGTTCGTGTCCAGCCTGATCTACAAAGTTCCAGGACAGGCTTCAAACCCACACACTGAAACCCTGTCTCGAAAGGCTAAACCAAAAATAAAGTTTTATGATCTAACGTAACAAATTATAAAGAATTTGTGGAGCCAGAAACTTTGCTATATGCATCTGTCTGTAGAGTATTTTTGTTTCCATTTCTGTGGCTGGCTTCCCTACACTGGGAGCCAAAGACTGCGAGGCAAGAGGTTTTATTTTCCTGGCCACGTTTCCGCTCCCATCCCTCCGTACTGCTGCTGCAGACCCAAGACAGGTCGGGGGCTTGGCCAGAGTGGGCACTTAGGATCCCGCATTTCACCAACGACCCTGGGAACGGACACACCAGTTCCGCCCTGGTACCCGCTGGCTCGGAGCATTTGTCTCACTTACCCAGGGGTCCCTTCCCCGCGGCCTTGGCTTTTAGCTCCTCGAGTTTCTTCTGCTCCTCTTTTTGCTTCTGCTTGAAAGCCTTATCTTCCTGCGGAGAGGCAGAGCAGGTTCACTCCAGGCCAGTCGCCCATTCCCTCAGCGCCCGCCCGCGCCTCCGCTCCCGTCCTCACCTCGTCCATCTCCTTGGCCTGCTTCTTGGGCTGTTTCAGGGGCTTCTTTTTGCCACCTGTGGGCGACACGAGCATGCTCGGCCCATCCCCGCCATCCATCGCCCTCCTCGTTGTTCCCCGTCCATCTATCCCCCAGACCCCAAACCTTACCTTCGCGGCCCGACATGGCGCCCACAGACAGCCCCTTCCCAAACCCTGATCCTAAGCCGGAAACGGAGCTCGCTGCCGGCGCCTATGCCGCGCAGCAGGCCCGCTGATTGGCTTCTAGGCAGGAAGTTACCTCAAATCTTTTAAATGACGCGTTACCCAGGGGCGGGCGCTAACCGGTCAGGGGTCATTTGAGTGGCAGACGCGGGGCTTACTGCTGGAGCGTAATAGGCTTAGGCTCTTAAGGTATGAGGCGGAAGGCACCTTCTGCCTGGGACAATCGGGAACCTCGGGGTGGTGGTGGTGGTGTGTAGCTATGAGGCCTGTGGTCGAGCAGAAAGAAAGCGTTGCAGGTGGAGGGGAGGGCACATGCAAAGCTCCTTTCCGGAACCGAGGCAAGCACAGCTGGCTGGGACGATAATAGGATGGGAGATGGCAGTGGCCAACATCCCCTGGTCCTCGGAGCCGCTGGGAAAAGTTTGGACTTTATGAAATAATGAGTGTAACTGTTTGCAAATTCTTTCCTCTTCTAGTTCATTTTTGTTGACTCTGGACTGGAGAGTGAGCAAAGCTGACATTGTAGCAAGGAAAACCCACAGCAAAGCAAATAAATAAACTATGTATCACACATTATGTGACCTGTGTAGGGAGAGAAAATAAGCAAAGAAAGCGGTTAAGGAATGTTTCCTCGGAGGTAGGATGTCAATTTGTGATAGGGTGGTTAGAAAAGACCTCTTCAGTGGCTATTTGAGCAGGACTTGAGGGAGGCCAGGGAGCCAGCTGTAGACAGGGAACAGCTAGCCAGTGCCAAGCCCTGAAGCGAGGGATTGCCTGCTGTGTTCCAGTCCTTCCCCCCCATTGGCGGGAAAGAGACACTAGTGGAAAGTGCAGTCAGAGAATGATCACGGATCCCCAGTGAGCCGTGAAGACTGACTTTTGCCTTGAAGGAAATGTGGGACCGTTGCAGGGTTTGAGCAGAAAGAGACATGAGCTGTTTGAAAAGACCACTGCTGCTCTGTTGATAGTTGATCAGAGAAGCAGAGGGACCTGTGAGGAGACCAGTAAGAGAGAGATGTGTGTCGTGTCCCGTGTCCCCCCCCCCCCATGTTGGTCATGGAGACCACTGTGTAGCCCTAACAGAGATAGATGGCAGGTTTAGAAAGTCAGTGAGATTTTACTAATGGGTTGAATTTGAGATAGGAGAGAAAATAAGTGTTTAGGGTGATGTGAGATTGTCAGCCTAGCATTTGTACCTGAATTGCCATCAACCACTGTGGAGAAGAGTATGGGAAAAGCAGTTTGTTAGGGAAAGATAGATTGCTATTAGATTTTCAACAGTGATATGGGTTGGACATTTAGATAATAGAATCCAGAGGAAAAGTCTTGACTGAAGAAGGCACAGATTTGGGGGGGGGGTGCAAGCTCGAATTTGTTCACACAGACAGACAGACACACACACGTGCTGTGCGTGACACAAATGCTGTACAATTGAACTGTACCCCCAGCTTTGGAAAAATATTTCTAATTATGAGTGTTTTATATGCGTGAGAGAAAGGTAGAGAGTGCTCACAAGCTAGAGTCATCAGGTACCCCAGGACTGGAGTTTCAGGCAGTTATGAGCTGCCCCGTATGAGTGCTAGGAACCAAACTCTAGTTTATATGCCCTCTTAACCTCTGAGCCATCTCTCCAGCCCAGTTATTATTATTTAATTATTATTATTATTTTGGATTTTTTTTTCAAGACAGAGTTTGTGTATAGCCCTGCCTGTCCTGGAACTAGCTCTGTAGACCTGCCTGCCTCTGCCTCCCAAGAGCTGGGACTAAAGTGAGATTAAAGGTCTATGCCACCACTGCCCTGCTGTTTGCTTTTTAAAAACAGCTTTACTGATATAAAACTTACTATATAACCCAGCTGTTTAATTTGTACAATTCAGTGATTTTTTTTTAGTATGTCAAAAATTATGCAAATATTACCACAACCAATTATAGAAGCATTTCCTCTTGCTCTCTCTGGGTTTGAAATAGACTTGCCAGAAGAGTCAGTACTCAGGAGGCAGAGGCAGATGGATTTCGTGAGTTAGAAGCCAGTCTACAGAATACCATCAGAGTGAGTTCCAGGACAGCCAAGGCTACACAGAACAAAACAAAACAAAACAAAAAGGAAGGAAAAACAGACTCACTCTGTAGACTGGACTAGCCCAGGACTTTAGGAAGTCTTCCTGGCCCAACTCCCAAGTGTGGGATTGCAGGTATGAGCACCACCTTGAGTATGCTGAGTACTTTTATTTTCTTCTCCAATACTGGGGGTCTAGCCCAGGACTTCTCCCATGCTAAAGGAACAATGTACCACCTACCTACCTCCCTAGCCTTGTGGCGTTTTGTTTTGTTTCATTAATGTATCTTTAATTTTTATGGGTGTGTGTGCCTGCTTGCCCATCCACATACCACATGGATGCAGTGCCTGAAGAAGCCAGAAAAGGGAATTGGATCCTCTAGAGCTGGAATTATATAGATGGTTGTGAGCCATGGGATATAGGTCCTGGAAACTAAACCTTGGACCTCTAAGAGAGCAGCAATTGCTCTTAACCACTGAGGTATCTCACCAGCTCCAAAACCAGTTTTTTGAGTTTATTTTTGAGACGGGGCTTACTGTGTAGCCTGGATTAGCCTAGAGCTCACAAAGATCTGCCTGCTTCTATCTTATGAGTGCTTGGATTAAACACTTGTGCCACACCCAATTATAATGTAAATTATTTAAAAATATTATATATAATATCATTTATGTATATACACATATATGCTTGTGTGTGTATATATATATGTATATATATGTGTGTGTATATATATACATATATATATGCATATATATATATATATATGTTTGCTTTTTGTTTTTCAAGACAGGGCTTTCCTGTGTAGCCCCTGCTGTTCTTGAACTCCCTCTGTAGATCAGGCTGGTCTCAAATTTATAGAGATCCTCCTGTCTCTACCTCCTGAGTGCTAGGATTAAAGGCATACTCCTGGCTTTTTTGAGACGTCTCACTGTGTAGTCTTAGCTGACCAGGAACTTGCTATGTAGACCAGGCTGGTCTTGAACTCACAGATATCTTCCTTCCTCTGCTTCTTGAGTGCAGGGATTAGAGGGTGTACCACTACACCTAGCCCTTATATTTTAATTACATGTTCATATGTGTGTTTGAAGGAATGCTCATGTACATGCAAGTGCCCATGGAGGCCAGAAGAGGGCATTGGTTGCCTAGATTTGGAGTTACAGTGGTAGCAAGCACCAATCTGCATACTGGGGACCGAGTTTGTCTCCCCTGAAAGGGCAGTGTGCTCTCTTCACCACTGAAACATCCCAGTGCCCTCTAGCATTTTCATTTTTTTATTTCTTTGTTTTCTCTGTATAGCTTTGAGGCCTGTCCTGGAACTCACCAGGCTGGCTTTGAACTCACAGAGATCCGCCTGCCTCTGCCTCCCAAGGCAGGGTCTGCTGGGACTAAAGGTGTGCGCCACCACCGCCCTGCTCCCGCTAGCATTTTTAAATCCAGAAAACCGTATGAGAGAGGGATGTGAGCCCTGCATCTTGGGCTGCAAAAGTGTCTGGGTTTTAGGGAGATGAGGGCAAATGGAAGCCAGGTGAAATGGCCATTGAAGGAAGAGGGAGCTTTCATAAGGCACAGGCTGATGAAGGACAAAAGAGGTGAGGGTCAGCTGAGCGGTGGTGGTGCACACCTTTAGACTCAGCACTTGGGAGGCAGAGGTAGGAGGATTTCTGTGAGTTCGAGACCAGCCTAATCTACAAGAGCTAGTTCCAGGACAGGCTCTAAAGCTACACACAGAAACCCTGTCTCGAATCCCCGACCCCCAAAACATATGAGGATCAAGAATTGTGCATCATATTTAGTGGTGGGGGTGGACAAGAACCAGGTGACATTTGGGACAAGGTGGGAGTGAAGGCCATTGCAGATGGTTTAGGAGAGATGGGAGGAGAACAAGAGGAGATGGCGTTCTAGCCATGTGTCAGAGGATCTGATGGCACACAGGGGCAAAGCAATAGGGCAGTTGCAGGATGAGGTGTTCCATCAAGGACTGAGCAGTGTCAGAGGCTGCCCACTGCTCTCCCCGAGAAGCATGTGTTTTTTGTTTTGTTTTTTAATCTTCAAAATCAAGGGAGAAAGTAAGGGCTAGAGACCCAGATCGCTGGTAGAATGCTTACCTAGCGTGTGCAAGGTTCTGGGTTTAACTCCCAGGCTCTGCTAGGTTTGATCACAAACACTGAGAGGGCTGGGGAGGGAGGTAGGGGGAGGTGTGAGGCAGTGGTAAATGGGAGGGCTGTGCTTGGCTGTGATGAAAGGTAGACTTACAGAGCTGTTGCGGGGCTGTCTCCTGTGTTCTGTGGGCCCTGGTGTTGGGACTGGGGATGCTCACCTAACCACTGGGGCATGAACGCTGTGTGCGCTCGCCTTGAGGCCACTTTGACCAGAAGGCATGCCCCTGCCTGTCCGGCTTTGTTTTCAAAAGGGCTCAAGAGCACCACAGATGAGAACAAGACTGGGATGCTGCGAGCAAGGCATACCTGTGTTTGTTTACACATTGATCAAGTCAATATGTATACAGAGAAGAAGTTATCAAAACTGCCGTCTCCTAGTTACCACCGGGAGAAGTTTTATCCCTGAAAACTAAGGAACAAAATTCCCAAAACAGTGTGAGGAAGCCCTTCCTCTCCTGTTGCCAGTTCCCTCTGCTTTCTCTTGTTGGCCACCAGGTGTCGCTGTGGTCACTGCTTCAGGGCTTAGTGTGGTTTGATCAGAGGACATAGCCAGTTTTTTTTCTGGGATTCTGGGTAACCTGGCCCTCCCTTCAGGGTTCTGAGTCCCATCGGTTCTTGGGCAGGGGTAATGCCTGACTCTGGATACTCCCCATCCTGTTCATGTCAGAGGAAGTAGGTGTTGTCAGGGCCCAAACATGAAAGCCAGGCTAAAAGGGAGCAGAGAAGCCTGACCTGCTGAGCGGTGACCTAGGCTGGGGGGGAAGGGGGCACATGTGATACGGGGACTTGGTAGTCTGAAGTTAGGTGGGAGGGCAGTGTGATGGTGTGACTTCAACCTAAGTAAAGCACACTACAGTGGGGGAAACAGGATTTCTTTTTTTCCTCCCCTGGAATTGCCCTTTCAAAGGAGATCTTAATGGCAGCCTCAGTAAGGCTGGGAGTTAGATGTGAGGGTCTTTCATAGAAATTATTCTGGAAGTTAACTAAGTTATCCTTAGTTCTGCCGTTCCCAGGGGGAATGGCTTTAACATAAATGTGTTCCCTTGTCCTACAGACCCATAGGAAAACCTGGCCTTCCTCTTGCTGTCGGTGCTGAAATTATTCTATTTGGCACTAGGCCTAGCATTTGAGACCTGCCTGATGTTTAGCCTTTCTCATTCAGGGGCTCATCTATCTGGTATCTCCCTCAACAGCTCCTCCGATGACAGGGTGCAGCCCTGCTTTTGCCATGCAGCACATTGTGGGCGTGCCCCATGTACTGGTAAGGAGAGGTTTCCCTGGAACAGACCTCTTCATGACAAGGACTCTGTGCAGTCCAGGTCCCAGCCAGCCCAGAGAAAAGCGGGCAGAAGCTGCAGCCTTAGGGCTGTATCACCGCCTCCCAGCATTGGGAAGAGTGTTGGGCCACAGCATTCAGCAACAAGCGTCCTCCACAGCCAAGGCTTGGTGGGACAGATATGAAGAGTTTGTGGGACTCAATGAAGTTCGAGAGGCCCAGGGAAATGTAACCGAGGTGAGGAGGGGAGACTGGCGGTTGACTTTGCCTTTGTTTTGGGAAATACAGCTTGGCCTCCTAACAGAGAAGTTCCCAGCTGCATATATGGACACTTTGGTCTTTCTTATTTGAGACAGGGTCCTGTGTACCCCTGGCTGGCCTTGGAACCCTCATGTAGACAAACTCCTGATCTTCCTTTTGTCGCCGTCCTAAGTCTCAGGACTGCAGTGTGTACCACCACAGCTAGCCTTCTTTTCTTTCTGAGACAGGGTTCTGTCTGGAAAGTCCAGGCTTGCCTGGAATTTATATTCTATCTGGCTGCGAACTTGTGATCTCCCTGCCTCAGAGCTGAGATTATAGGTGTGGTCACCACACCCAGCTCAGACTTGCCTTTTCTTAAACAAACCTCACTGTTTGAAATAGTTGACTCTTTCTCGTGTGGAAGTCTGGGTCTGCACTACTGGGGTGAAGGTCTCTATGAAAATAATCACATTCTGAAAAGTCCCTGGCTAATGACTCCCCCCTTGTATTAGGCTAGCAAATTGTCCTTTGTGGACTGTTTTTGCCTTATCGTGTGAAGGTAGAGGGCACTGGAAAACATCATATTGGGAAACAGACAGAGCTGCCCGTTGTTTTCAAGTCCTTGGTGGCAGCAGAAATGCATTCCATCACCTGTCTCCACTCAGATGCAGAGCAATGTAGCGTGGTTGGAAGAAATTGAGGTTTAGGCACGTGGTCGTCTCTTCTCCCTGGAAAATATTTGTAACAGTGAGTTTTGCTGAGCTGAAATTTCCAGGACCATCAGCTGGAGACTGTACTGAATGCTTTGATGGTAGTGTTGTAGGCCTCAGCAACACACAGCAAACAGCAAGAGAACATGGGTTCCTCATGGTGGTTCCCATCAGACAAGAGCTGGCTGGTTTTAGTGGACAAAGATTGTGTCACTGCTTTTTGCAAGTTTCTCAGGGGCATGTTATTTCTGCTTGAATGAGTAAATCCAGTGCTTTCCCATGGGCGTGGCCTATGGCCGCCTGTTGAACATGCCAGAGTGAGCTGGGATTAATAATGTCCAAGGTCTGTTTCTACCTTTCACAGTAACACCCCAGTGACCTTTATTCAGCTGCTGCCTTGTTAGCAGTGGAGCTGAGCCCGTGCGGGGATGGACAGAAAGGGCTGATGGCGTCTGACATTCTCTCTGCAGGCAGAGAAAGTGTTCATGGTGGCTCGCGGCTTTGTTCGAGAAGCTCGGGAGAATTTAGAGGCTCAGCAGGCTAAGCTGAAGGAGGTGAGGGACCGTTTGGACCGAGTCTCCAGGGAGGACAATCAGTACCTGGAGCTGGCCACTTTGGAGCACAGGATGCTGCAGGTGAGCCCCTCCGGAAGCAGCCCTCGCTCACCTGCACAAGGCCCCTAGCATGGCCAGGTGTGAGCTGGTAACCCTGACTGTGGATGTCATGGCCCCAGGCTTCCTGTCTGCTCTTTCTTGAGTCCAGCAAAGTGCTGACTGACACCCAAACTACTGAGGAGAGGATAGAGGTACTGGCTCAGGAAATACCACATTCTTTTCCCTATAGACATGCTCTGCATGGCCGCCCAGTGGGGAGATCATGCGGCTGCCTTTCACACTCCCCATGGCTCTGCCTCCACATCCAAGGAGGTATTTTCTGTCTTCGTTCTTGCAGCAGGTGTTTGTGGAGCCAGGGGCGGGGGAGTGGCCCCTGGCTGCAGTCACAAGGCTCCAGGCTGTCTGACACCACTTTGTTCCCACAGGAAGAGAAGAGGCTCCGAGCAGCCTACATGCATGCAGAAGACTCAGAGCGGGAGAAATTCTCTCTCTTCTCTGCAGCCGTGCGGGAGAGTCATGAGAAGGAGCGCACGAGGGCCGAGAGGACTAAGAACTGGTCCCTCATTGGGTCAGTTCTCGGAGCTCTGATCGGTGTGGCGGGATCCACCTATGTTAACCGTGTACGGCTACAAGAACTGAAAGCCTTACTCCTGGAGGCACAGAAAGGGCCTGCGAGTCTCCAGGAGGCCATCCGTGAGCAGGCTTCCAGCTACTCCCTCCAGCAGAGAGACCTCAAGGACCTCATGGTGGATCTGAGGGGCCTGGTGCATGCTGGGCAGGGCCAGGCCTCTGGGTCACCAACAGGTACTTCTACCAGAGGAAAAGACATAGATGCCCTTTCAGCCGCCATGAAAGAGCAGCTCAGTCATTCCCAACAGGTCCATTCCTGCCTGGAGGGCTTACAAGAGCGGCTTGATGGCCTGGAAAAGACGTGTAGCCAAATGGCTGGGGTGGTTCAGCTTGCAAAGGCTACAGCACATCCAGGCACAGTGGAGCCAGTAGATGGGGCCCTGCCCAGCTCTTTGCTGGAACAAGGGAGCATGATCTTGGCCCTGTCTGATGTGGAGCAGAGACTAGAAGCCCAGGCCAACAGGAATTCTATCTGCAGCACACTGGTAACCTGTGTGACTTTCATAGCTACGTTACCCATGCTCTACATGCTGTTCAAGACCAGTTAGCCCTGGGGTCCTTCTTCAAAGGGGCCTGAGGGTGAATGTGGCGTCTGTTGGTGACAAGATGAATCCTGAGGTACACACAACCTCAGACTGAGTACCATTTGAGGGGCTCACTGGCAGGTTTATTTTATTTTGTAGGTAATGCTTATTTACATTAATTATCAAAACTTTGCAAATGTCCAATTAAAATACCTAAAAATTTGTATTATTTAAAAGAGTTTTACATCAGACTCAGTTTTGTCATTGACTTCAGAAATTTGGGGCTTGGGGTTTGACCAGGAATGAGAAAACTCACCCCCTTAGTTCCTTTCTTATCCCATCTTGGTCCTGGCTCAGAACTGTTAGGTGAGGTTATCCCTGAGGTCTAGATTCACACTTTGAATATCCTGACTTGCCCTTTGCTTGTTGGGCCTTTCTGTCGTCTAGGGGATCAAGTGAATAGAATGTGGTCTGGCGCATAGCTTTTTGCCATGGGGAAGGGAGGAGAGAGAATTCCTGGTTCTATTGCTGAAGTATGCTCAGAAGGAAGGAAGAGGCCAGGACATCATCACAGATCCATGGCTTATCCACAGCACTGACGCAAAGTACTCCCCATGTAGCCTGGGACCTTGAAAGGCATGGGCATAGTTCAGACCCGTGCTGGCAGCCGTGTGGAGGCGTAGTTAAAGGTGCCGGGAAACACCACCGGAGTGGACTGCCCTGAGAACCCTGACCTCTCTTCAGAGGGACCAGTGAGTGACCCTTGACTTCTCAGCTAAATGGCATGGGTGGCCTTGTGTAAACAATGTGTGGAGCATTGCTCGGTGCCTGAGTATTACAGGACTAGAACCACAGTGGGGAGTCGGTCTAACAGCCCCCACCCCAGAGGGCACCACAGCCGTCTGCTTCAGGTGGGAGCTTGCTTGTGCCTTTGGAGCCAGAAGTGTTTCCCACAAGGAGCCTCTACACTTGGATGCTGGTGCTCATTCCAAATGGCTCCTCACGTTCTCACCTTTGAGAACCTAGGCTCGTGGCCATTTGGTCCCATCATTCTTAGTATACAGTGGTTCCCTAGGGGGGAAACAGCCCCAGCACCTAAGGGTGTTGCTACTCCCGAAGGGCCAGGAAGTGCCTTGCTGTCCCTGTACAGATGAGGAAGGCTGTGCAGATGTGTCCAGGCCCCCACTGGGACAGTTAGTTGAATAAGTGGGTTTGAAGGGGAACAGACTCCCCACACATGAACAGGGCTCCTGCACCTTGCAGAAGCAGGAAGGCCAACGTAAATGGGAGCCATGGTGGATTTGGGGGAGTTGTGGAGCACAAGGTTAGAGGGAGGGGATAAGGAGTTGGGAGTGCTGGGTTGGCAGTTTGACTGTCGGGATGTGCTGACCACACACTAGGGGACTGGAGTCAGGGGCTGAAAGTGGGTGTGGAGGAAGGGGGGTGCTCTGAGACCTAGGGGAAGGGCATTTTAGAAAGCCAGGAGAGCCAGAGGACCCTGTCTGTTTCTATTGCTGCGATGAAACATGACCAAAAACAAGTTGGGGAGGAAAGGTTATTTATGTTCATCATTGACATAAGTCAGAACAAGAACTCAAACAGGGCAGGATCCTGGAGGCAGGAGCTGATTGATGCAGAGGCCACGGGGGTGGGGGGGTGGGGGGTGGTGTTAGTCTGCTTTCTAATAGAACCCAGGACTGAAGGCTGCCTAGGGGTGGCGCCACCCACTATGGGCTGGGCCCTCCCCCATCAATCACTAATTAAGAAAATGCCCTACAGCGGGATCTTATGGAAGGATTTTTCTCATTTGAGGTTCCCTCCTTTCAGATAACTCAAGCTTGGTCAAATTGACATAAAACAAGCCAGCACAGCCCCTATCCCACCCTTGAGATGGGGAGGGGCGGTGGAAGAGAAGCCTGGCTATGTGAAAGGCTTCCCTGCTGAGAGCTCTCTAACCTAAGAAGCGTCTATATATGGCAGATTTTTGTCTTTCTGGATGTTGTGCCTTGAGCTAAAGCCTTCCAAAAGCCCCTCAGGATCGGTCAGGTCCTGGCCCCAAAGATTGCCATTGGCAAATCCGGGTGTGAAGAGCCCTACATAAGGCACAGTGCAATGTGCCTGCCCAGGAAGACCCAGGTGTTTTCCAAGGAGGAAGTCCTTGGATAGTCTAGGCCTTGGAGGACAGGAAGGAAATGAGACGCCACATACGCACCTCGCAGCCAGTGTTCCCCGCTTTCACAGCCCAGCAATGGATGGTATCAACCCCACTTTTGGGTGAGCAAATAGGTGGGGGAGGAGTGTCAGGTTACATGGCTTAGTGATGGCGCAAACTCGGGTCCAAAGCCCGGGCTCTCCTCAAACAGCCAGGGGCGGGGGCCGGAAGGAGAGGTTGGGTGTTGCGGAGTCCTGGGAGAAGGAAAGGTGGGCAGGGCCAGGTGAGAAGAGGAGAAAGCCGGCGCCTAGGAGTTCAGGTGAAGAAAGTTGGGGGAAGATGGCCACAAGGGCCAGGAACTAGAAGGGAAAGAGGGCGCTCGGGGGCTGGGCGAGGCGCGTTGGGGGTGGTGGAGATGGTGGGGCAGGTGAGGGGCACGAGTCCCATCGAACTGTGGCAGGATGAGGCTCCGGTGCTGTATCACTACACCCGGGAGTAAGGCAAGCAACCATGGCCGCGGCCTCTTGCGTTTGGGAAGTGGGGCCAGCGGCTGGTCCAGAGCGGCGCGCAGGTGAGGCCCGGCTGGGCGGGGCGGACCGCCCACGCTCCGAGCTACACGTCCGCGTAGCCATGGCTACCACCGGGGTGCAACAGCCCCCACTTAATGAGAGGGGCTGATCCCCCCCCCAGGCCCTTCACAAACTCGGGTCCCGCGGGGCCGGAATGCGGGGTCCCGGGGGGCTGGGGCAGCGCACCCCGCTCTCCCGGCTGCTTCCGGCCTGACCCGGGCGGCGCGCGGGGGGAGGGAGGCCCGACGGGAGGGAGGGGTGGAAGGAGCGGAGCTCGGGCCGGCCGACGCGGCTTTGTCTCCTTTGTTCCCAGCGGTGGCAGAGCCGCGGCGGGAGGGGCGGGCAGCGGGCGCAGTTTTCCGCCCCTCGGTCTCCGGGTAACAGCTGCGGCTCCGCCAGACCCACCTCCGGGGGGAGGGAAGGTCGCCGCGCGCAGATCCCGAGCGAGCCCGGAGCTGCCCGCCGCGGACGCCGCGCCGCGCGCATCCCGCAGGCAGGTCGGGCGGTGAGTCGCGGGGCTTGGGCTGGGAAGGCGGGGCCGGGCCGAAAGCCGCGCGCACCCAGGTGGAACGACCCGAGGCCTCGGTCCCGCCGGGTACGGGCAGCCCGAGCGGAGTGCAGTGGTGGGAGGCTTCGGTCCAGAGAGTTGGGACCACACTCGTGCGCGCGAAGGCAAACTCTGGCGGCACCGCCTGTAACGCGATTGGGAGACAGAGGAGGTGGAGCTGCTCCTCCGCGCCCCCTCCTCGCTGCCGCCACCACCGCCGCCGCCGGGACCGGCCGGCCCCTTCCCCGCCCTCCCTGGGCCACCGGTGGGGTCTTTGTCCCGCGTCGTGGGGGAGGGAGGAGGGCCGAGGATGAGACGAAGCAGGGAAGTGGAGGCTTTCCCCATAGGATAACAGACCCTTCGGGCTGAGGCTGACTGACAAAGGAGGACCACGAGCCTTCTAATTCTGGGACTCTGTCTTGATACCGACATACCCAGCGGGTGCTTGATGAGCGCCTTAATTTATCGCGGGTGTCTGTCTGGTAAATGATGACTCCCCTCTGCCCCACTCAGCATCTTGAAAGCAGGTGTGCGGTGGTCACTTTTTCACTGTCAATGAGTTACGCTCCCTCCCTTTTAAGTGGATACTGGATCAGGGACTCAGGAAGGGAAGGCCAGTTAACCCCCAGGCAAGGTGCATGTGCAGGTGCAGATGGACTGAATTAGTGAGCCCTCTTGGTTAGTGAGAGCAGCTGCCGGAGGGGGTCAGGTGGTGCTTGTCCTTTGCAGAAGTCAGGCAAGCAGGCCTGGGCCCCGCTGAAGGGTTTCAGGGCGTGTGGGCTGCGAAGAGGCCTGTAGGGCAGGCCTGGGCACAGGCAGAGTTAGACTTTGGCTATGAGCCTGGACAGAGCCTGAGATGTGGGGAGTAGGGAGGAGATACTGGCAGTGCAAGTTAGGGACGTGAGGCTTAGCTCCAAATAAGCGTTTTCAGTCTGCTCTAGTCTGATCATTAATAAAACTGTCCCGATTCCTTGTCTTTTGAGAGACCAAGAGGCTTGGGAAGCAGTGTATAAGCTGCATATTTACCCCTACTGGCTGGATCTCCTGGGCAGTGAAATGGGGGCTCATTCACGACGGAGGGAACACCCGCTCTGCTCTGCATTGGGGTTGCCGGTTACTGGGGCCTCCTAATTAAAAGTGGGCACACTCCTCTTTGCCCAGAGTGGGAGGATGCGATGGGAGAAAATGGCCTCGGGACCCACTCATGCAAGGTCCACTCTTAACACATTTACTGTTCAGAACAGCCCTACCTACCTCCCCTCCCACTAGCGGGAAATCTGAAGCTCCAAGCCCAAGGAAAGTCTGGCTGGTGGCTAGGTGTGTCCATTTCATCTACCACACAGGGTCACCTCCTCAGGAGCCTGGGAAGGCTGGGATGGTTCCCCAGGGAGGTGATGGCTGGGCGTGGGAGGTAATGGGAGAGAGAGGGAGTGGGCATTCCAGGCTGAGAGACCTGTCCTTGTGATGACAGGGAGTAGAACAAGCCCGCAGTCTAGGCGGGAACGAAGAAGATCATGTGTGTGGGGAGCCTTTATCTCCCCAGCCCTAGGGTACCCCAAAAGCTTGAGGAGTGTGTGCACTGCATTTTTGTTTAAAGGAAATCCAGAGATGTCCTCAGAGATCGGAGGGATTAGGGATGCCTCAGTAGCTGAATTTAAGTGAAATCTGTGCATTAATGTGGAGGAGAAAAATGTCACTACCCTTTGTCCTGCCCCCTGCCCATGGTATGTAGGCCTATTGACTAGCTCCTTCGAGGGGGTTAACCTCTGACCTGTGTGCTGAGCTTTTCAGAGCCCTCGCGTTTCTCTGTATGTTCCCCTCAATGCAATCGTAATTTCAGTTTGGGGAGTGGTGTGGTCACTGCCCCTTGAGGGCTGAGAAACTTTGGCATGCAGTAGGCTCTGAGCAAATATTTACAAGCCAACGAAACAGCAAATGCTGGTCTCACTGTGGAACTCCGTGCCCGAGGCACATCTGTGGCCCAAGGTGGTAGGAAGGTTGGGTCGTAGCAGTGAGGGGGACTGGCTCCTGCCTTTCCAGGGGAGGAAATTTGGTCTCTCTGTCCCGTGGAAACAAGGTGGGGGGCTCTTTAGTCGCCTGGCCTTGCCACAGCCCTGGGCTTCTGGCTGGGTTCAAGACTTTTTCTGCTGCCTCTTCCCCTCCACCCCCTTGGGTGGCAAACAGAGGCAGCCTTGTTCCCGCTTCCATAGAGCTGCCCTGTTCTCTCCACACTAAAAATGGAAACCCCCAAGCTATTTTGGGAGCAGTGCCCAGCCAGCCTGTGGCCATGGCCCCCTGCTCCCCCTGGGCTGTGACCACAGTGTCCTTGCTCCCACCAGGCTGCTGGGCCTTCCTCTTAGCCTTGTGCCCGGCCCTGCTGATGATAGTGCCCTGCTGAGGCCTCTGATAGTATGGGCCAGTCCAGGCTCAAGGAAGAGAACTTTGGGAACATTCTGCGTAGACAGCCTGGCAGCTAGGCGGTGGGAGGGGCTGGGCAGTGTGGCCTGGGCACAGGCAAGGAAGGGAGAGTATTTCTCAGTGTAGAACGGTTCGTCCCACAACTTAACCAAACTGTGGTCCCACTTGAGGACCATTGGAGTTTGGGGAAGGTAGTGTTGCCATAGTTACTTAGATCTAGGATGTAGGAGCTCTAGCTGGGGCCTGCAAAGTGGGAAAGCAGGCACTCAAAGTCTGGAGAGTCCTAGGTTTGGACTCGGGTCCAGGGCACCGCCAGGCACGATCACCTCAGAATACCCAGCCTGCCACTCATACTGCACTCTGGGTTCTGACTCTACAACCTGCAGGGGGAGAAAATTCCAGGAGATGGCCTGCCTTCCACAGCTTTCTAGGACTTAGTGCTGGAACCAGGGAAGTGTGCGTGAGTCTGTTTGTGCGGGTATCTAATGTGGATGATGTGTGTATGTCTGTCTCGGGTGGAGGTCCATGCAGTGTCTGTAGGGGGCAGAGTTTTATATGACTGTTTTCATGTGGTGTCTGAACATATAGATACATGTGCCCTGTGTGATATGTTTAATGTTTGCATGTGTGTCTACTGTGTGCATAGGTCATGGCTGCATGCGTTGTCATTGTATGTGTCTGTATGTGCAAGTGCTCCTGTGGAGATGTATGCATTCAGGGTAGGTAGCATGCATATACCTTTGTGTGTGCGCGTGTGCACCTGCTGCTGTGTTGACACCTGTTTGGGTTAGGGTAGCCCCTAGTTTGTGTGAGTGGTGTAGAGCTGAGTGCCCTGACAAAGCAAAGTTAAAGCCAAGGGCGGATGTAAAAAATGCCGAGAAGGGACCTCAGTGCTGGGGGCCTGGCTGGGCCCAGCTGGCTGTGGGGTTCCTTTCTAGTTGACCTTTCCCAGGCCCCTCGGGTGCCTGGCTCTGCTGCCCTCCCCCTCCCTGTGTGGGCTCTGAGGAGGCGTCCTCTGTGGAATGTGTTTGGTGGCTGAGGGCCAGGCTGGGAGGAGAGTCCAGGGCTCCCACATGCCTGTAGCCCAGCCCCCAGTTTCAAACTTTGCTTTCCCCACTGGCTAGGTGACTCCTGCTCAGGTCATGCTGTTATCTCCTGACCCAGCCAGCCCTGCCAGGTGAGCCAGACTTTACCCTAATGGGGAAGAGTGTAGCTGTCCCTGCAGCTCAGGGCTCCCCAAGGTGGGGCCCTGTCCTTCAGCCCTCACCCATCCCAACATAGCCTGCTGGTTATCACCCTTTTGAGTCCCTGGCCCAAAGAGCTCTGCATCCGAATTCTTTCTTTTCCGTTTATGTATTTTGTTGTTGTATTGAGACGTGGTCTCTGTGAGGCAGTCTGGATCCCTCTGCATAGACCAGGCTGGTCTCGAGCTGACAGATCCACTTACCTCTGGCTCCCAAGTGGTGGGCTCAAAGGTGTGTGCCATCACACCCATTCCTGCATCCAATTCTTTCATTGTTATGACGTGCTGGTCGTCTGTAAGACCTCATCACCCCTGCTCCCCCTGACCAGGAATCCAGCGCCCATATAGAGGGGCCCTTTTCCTCCTCAGAGACCTCTTCATCCCTTGAATCAGAGAGCAGGGTCTAGAAGAAATAAGGAGATCGGGTAAGGGCTAGGGTGGAGTATGGGGAGGTACAGGTCTCCTGAGAGTGTAGTTTCTACAGAGAAGGAGTAGTGTTGGGTTTTCCAAGGGCAATATCTTCTGTTTCTGCCTCAGTACGTGTGCAGTCCTGGCATCACTTGGGCACCTAAGCCTAGTGAATCCTGGGACTCTCTCAGTAGCGCAGGTTAGGAGGAACATCTTGGCAGTGCCACAGCCCTATCCCTTTTCAGTGACTTCTGAGTGCCCTCCTGGCCATGTGAGCCTCATCCAGCCTTTCTCTCTGCCAGGTGACCATGCCTGTCCTCGGCCCAGTTCTTCTCCAGGTGCTCTGGGCCGGGTGTGTCCTCACCCTACAGTCCCCTCTACCAGCTGCTTTTACTGCCAATGGCACACATCTACAGCACTTGGCAAGGGACCCCACCTCAGGTACCCTTTATGTAGGGGCCACCAACTTCCTGTTCCAGCTGAGCCCTGGGTTGCAGCTGGAAGCCGTGGTGTCCACAGGCCCTGTGAATGACAGCCTAGATTGTCTGCCACCTGTGATACCTGATGAATGTCCCCTAGCCCAACCTACTAACAACCCTAACCAGCTGCTCCTGGTGAGCCCAGAGGCACTGGTGGTGTGTGGGAGTGTCCACCAGGGTATCTGTGAGCTACGGAGCCTGGGACAGATCGGGCAGCTGCTGCTCCGGCCAGAGCGGCCTGGGGATACCCAGTATGTGGCTGCAAATGACCCTGCAGTTAGCACAGTGGGGCTAGTTGCCCAGGGCTTGTTGGGGGAGCCCCTCCTGTTTGTGGGGCGGGGGTACACCAGCAAGGGCGTAAGTGGTGGTATTCCTCCCATTACAACCCGGGCCCTGCGACCACTAGACCCCCAAGCTGCCTTCTCTTATGAGGAGACAGCCAAGCTGGCAGTAGGCCGCCTCTCTGAGTACAGCCATCACTTCGTGAGTGCCTTTGTTCGTGGGGCCAGTGCCTACTTCCTGTTCCTGCGGCGAGACCTGAAGGCCCCTTCCAGAGCTTTCCGTGCCTATGTGTCCCGAGTGTGCCTTCAGGACCAGCATTACTACTCGTATGTGGAACTGCCCCTGGCCTGCCAGGGTGGCCGCTATGGTTGGATCCAGGCTGCCTCTGTGGCCACATCCAAGGAGGTGGCCCGTGGGGAAGTGCTCTTCGCAGCCTTCTCCTCAGTGGCTCCTCCCACTGTGGACTGGCCCCTGTCGGCTTCTACTGGGGCATCTGGAACCTCTGTGCTCTGTGCCTTCCCCCTGGATGAGGTAGACCAGCTTGCTAATTATACTCGAGATGCCTGTTACACCCGGGAAGGCCTTGCTGAGAACGGGACCAAGGTGGCTGACATTGCATACGATGTCCTTTCTGACTGTGCACAGCTGCCAGTGGTGAGTAAAGGCATTTGCCACCGGTCACCTGCCAGGAAGGCTGAGGAGCAGGGAGCGGGTGGAGGCTCTCGTACAGGTGCTAGGCATTTCCTGTTAGGCCTGAGTGAGCAAGATGGCTGCCTTACTGCAGTGGCTCGGCCAGGCAACAAGGAGCGGTGCAGTGATGGGCTTGAGTCGGGGTGTGGAGGAAGTGACCGTACAAGTTGGCACAGAGGGTGTTTGGGTTGGAGGGTCTGGCTCAGGTGTTGGAATGAGCCTGCGTGTTTTAGGTTCTGGAGCACAAGAAGAGGTAAAAACTGTGGCTGTGGCCTAGGAAGGATAGGAGGAGGAACTGCTCACTGAGTGAGTGAGGTGCCGAGGGCACAGGCAAGTGGGCTGGGAATGGGGAGCCAAGCTGGGCGAGCTTTAGGAGGTGACTTGGGAACAGGTACTGAGTATAGCAACTGGAGGACGTAGCTTCTAGGAAAGGGATGACAGAGGATGGGGGCCACTGCTAGGATGGAGATGGAAAGGATGCACCAGAGACGTGGAGGATGAAGCGCACTGGGGTAAGGCTAAGGATGGATGTGTAGGAGCCCAGTGTGTTGCCAGGGCAGGACTGTCGGGGAGACCTAGCAGAGATTGGGGCCTAGGTGAAGGTTACCTGGGAGGTCACCCAGGCAGGGTCTCAGTGACGCTTTTTGCTACCTATAGGATACCCCGGATGCCTTTCCCTGTGGCTCAGACCACACACCCAGCCCCATGGTCAGCTGTGTCCCTTTGGAAGCCACACCAATTCTGGAGCTGCCAGGGGTTCAGCTAACAGCTGTGGCAGTCACCATGGAGGATGGACACACCATTGCCTTCCTGGGTGACAGTCAAGGACAGTTGCATAGGGTACGTCTTTAGGAAGTATTAAGGTTGGAATGTGTGACATGTGATATACCACATGCCTTCCATCCCTGTCCCAGCTCTGTTTATGCTACTCCTGCCCGGGTTGGGTGTATTTACCTATGAATCTCCCCACACACACATTTCACCCTACGTAAGGCTGCTTGTAATAACCTGTCTGGCCTGGAACTCACAATGTAGACCACGCTGCTCTCAAACTCACAGAAGTCTGCCTATCTCTACCTCCAGAGTGCTGAGATTAAAGACTCCCCCCACCCCACACACACACACACATACACACCTACCCAAAGAGAAGACTCGTATTTATTAATTGTTCTAGTTCTGAGCGGTGGAAGATCTTGAGTTTGTGGCTTTAGGCTCTGCCAGACCTTGTGGTTTTTCATCTTAGGTCTACTTGGGCCCTGGAAGAAGTGTTGCCCCATACTCTAAACAGAGCATCCAGCCAGGGTCTGCTGTGAGCAGAGACCTTACCTTTGATGGTACCTTTGAGCATCTGTATGTAGTGACCCAGACTACCGTGAGTCCTGGACACAGGCCCGGGAGTGGCTGTCGGGAGGGGTCTCTGGGCAGTACGGGGTCGATATGTGGGTGAGCCACTGGTTTTGGGGTTGCTAGTCTCAGGTCCTCTTTGCTGTCACAGCTTGTGAAGGTTCCTGTGGCCCCTTGTGCTGAGCGTCTGGACTGTGACTCTTGCCTTGCCCACAGGGACCCTTACTGTGGATGGTGTGTGCTCCTGGGCAGGTTAGTGCTCCTCCAACTCATGACCTGGCCTTGCGCCTCTGTAACTGTTGCACACAAGATTCTTGGCCCTTGTCCACCGACTCTCAACCTCTGACCTCTGGATGGCTCCACCCCTGCTCTTTATCCCCCTGCTCAGGGCTTCAGTCCCCGCCGTGGCAGACACAAGAGCCTGCTGTCAACCCGACATGAGGGCTGTGGCCAGGGCTTTGGGACTAGAGATGTATTTGCTTTGTGACTTCTTGGTTAACATGTTGCTTCTTCTTAGATGTACTCGCCGGTCAGAGTGCTCCAGGGGCCAGGGGCCAGAGCAGTGGCTGTGGAGCTTCCAGTCGGAACTGGGCTGTCTTCGAGTGGTGGCTGTGAGCCCTGCCAATATCAGTCGGGAGGAGAAGAGGGAGGTAAATGACCGGAGTTGGCGGAGCTCCAACGGGGAGACTGGATAGAGACCTTGGATTTTCACATTATTGCATCAAATGCCACATGGCCTTGCTCAGCCGCTTCTCTTGGACCTTGGATTTCTCTGTAACAATCAAGATCAGAGGATGATTGTGAGGGCTCAAGAGCCGGCTACAGGATGCTAGTGCCAGTCTGTACTTGGTGCCCCTTAAGTGAGAGTTCCTGGTCTACCACCCAATGGTCCCAAAGTGTGCCCTTGGCTTTCTTGGTAGGTTTCCTTGTCGGTGCCAGGCCTGCCGTCTCTTTGGCCGGGGGAATCATATTTCTGTTACTTTGGAGACCATCAGAGTCCTGCTCTACTGACTGGTTCTGGTGTGATGTGCCCCTCCCCAGACCCTAGTGAGGCTCCGATGCTGCACAGAGGAGCCGGTGGGTGAGAGAAGGGGCCAGCCCCGGACCTGGGAGCCCCACCCTGCTTCCACTTTGCTTTAAGGGGTTTTGTTGGGATGAGAGGTGAATCCACACATAGCCCTGGTTGTGCTCTGAGTCGCCTTTCTGGCTCCGGTACCCCGCACTCACTGTCCGTGCTGTGTCCTGTGGACTTTGTTCTCTGACCCTCGCTCCTGTCTCCGTTTGGGTGTCGGCCTCATTCTGTATGGGTTCTCTGCTCTTCATTTCTGGCTTTTCTCCCTTCGTGCTGCAGACCACATCTCCGTGAACGTGGAGCTCAGGTTTGGTGCCGTGGTGATCGCCAACACTTCCCTCTCGTTCTATGACTGCATGGCAGTTACTGGGCTGTTCCCATCTGCTCCGTGAGTTCCTTACCTTCTGCCTCTGGCACTGGGCTCCCTTACAGTGACCTCCATTCCGTGACTGTACTGTGTGCACGCAGGTGCCGGGCCTGTGTGAGCAGCCGCTGGGGGTGTAACTGGTGTGTGTGGCAGCACCTGTGCACACACAAGGCCTCGTGTGGTGCTGGGCCCATGGTGGCAAGCCAACAGGTGAATGGGACTCCCGGATGAGGCATGTTGGTGGGTAGGGCTAAGGCTCCCCAGGGTGAGGTTTCTAATGGCCTGGGGTCTGTGTGCCTGCCTGCCGGCCTCCGGTGAAGCTCTGTGCTAAGCATTCCAGCTATTTTGTGTGACAGACGCCTGGAGAATGGCTGCTTGTCCATCCCATCTGTTTTGGGAGAGGACGTTTAAGCTAATAGGCAAGAGGTGTGGCCTTGGCTCACCACCTCAGCATAGACACCCTGGAGCCTTCCCCCTGTGTTCCTACTTTAGAGAATTAATGGGATGTTTTTGTTTCTCTTTTCCTCGGTCTTCTTCCCTCTTAACATACCCTTGCCGCCTGCTCCTGCGCCTGCCTGCTGAGTGGCCCTTCTTGTCTTTCTTGGCCTTCCCCCTCAGAGCCCACTCCTCTCCCTAGTCCCTCCTGCAAGGGATGTGCTCACTCCGTCCCCACCCACAGTCCCCACAGCCGCAGTCCCCCCTGCTCCCAGCACCTTCCCAGTGGAGCCTAGGGCTCCCTCCACAGTTGCAGATGTCCTACCCGGGGCCAGGCGGGCGGGTCCTGGCCCCATACTTTCCCCTACCTCCACAGAGTCACCTCTCCCTGAGAAGCCCCTCCTTTCTGACCTCCCTATCACACCTGGAACCACTGTCCCTACCCCTGCTGACTTGGAACCAGGGACCACACCTGAGGACCTCTCGGCCTCCTACCCATTCCCCTCAGATGCAGGCACAGTGCCCCCTGCAGAGCCTGGCCCTGAGGCCCTGCCCTCCATGGGGGCTCTGGACCAGCCCCCTGGCACTGCTCCTGTCACCACTTTCCCAGGGGCCAATGGCTCCATGAAGCCTATTCTGGATTGGCTCGTGAAAGAAGGCGGCGAGCTGCCCGAGGCGGATGAGTGGATGGGGGTTGACACGCCCGCCTTCTCCACTTCCACACTCCTCTCAGGTGATGGAGACTCAGCAGAGCGCGAGGGCTCTCCTGCCCCCCTCATCCTCCTGTCCAGCCTCGACTACCAGTACGACACCCCCGGGCTCTGGGAGCTGGTGAGGTCCAGCCCAGGAAGGAGGCCTCGGGAGGGGATGGGAAGATGCAGCCGTTTGCGCTCCCTGTGATTCTGCTTTGGGAGGGTAGGGACAGGGCTGCCATTGGAGTCAAGCGAGATAGAAGGCTGAGGTGGGCAGGGTGGGAGCCACAGACTGCCTCACTATTGGTGCCTACAGGGAGAGATGAGTCAGAGGGTGAGCTCCTGCCCTTGTGTGGAGAATGTTCAAGGCTCCTTGCTGATACCGGTCCACGTGGAGCGAGAAATCCAGCTTCGAGGCAGGAACCTGTGGCTCTTCCAGGTGTGTCTGCCTGTCTTGGCTAACGTCGTCCCCTTCAGACTGCTCGGCTACCTAGCGACTCTACCCAAGCCTTATAAAACAGAAGAGGGTATCGGCAGCCCCAGCCTTCCCTCCCAACCGGGGCAGGGCCTGCACTGCAGCCTGCTGGGGCTAGCTTCTGTCCTCTGTCCCCAGGATGGCCCAAGGAACAGCGAATGTGTGATGGAGCTGGAGGGCCTGGAGGTTGCAGTTGAGGCCCAGGTTGAATGTGCGCCACCTCCAGACACCTGGTGCCACATCAAGTGCCAGCAACACCAGGTGTGGGCCACAGACAGGAGCCGGGGTGGACATGGATGTACTGGCCACAGGCTGGCTGTTAACCTCGGCTGGTTACGTTGTCCTTGTTGCAGCCCAAGCCGGAAAACAGATGGGCATCCCACCGTGCCATATGCCTCGTGGGTCCCCACATCCCACTCTGACCTCTAAGTTGAGGGTACCCCAAGGGGTTTATATTCTAGTTCCATTTCTGATCTCCTGCCCTTTCATCCTGGGATCCCTGAATTCCAGTTCTGACCTCCAACGCTACACCCATAACTAGTCATTTTGGCCCTTTCCTGAGCCACACCCTCCCCAGGCCTGGTCCAAACTCTGGGCTCTGACTTCACTCCCGTTTCTCCAGTTCAGCTACAAGGCTTTGCAGCCAGAACTCCAAGTGGGGCTGTTCGTGCGTTGGGCGGGCGGCCTGCGTGTGGACAGTGCTGATGGGCTGTATGGTGAGCTGCCTAGGGTCCACAGGGCAGGCGAGCGGCATCGGGGCTCCGCTCGGCCTCCCCATCACGAGTCACTCCTGCCGTCTCTAGTGGTACTGTATGACTGCTCCGTGGGACATGGGGACTGCAGCCGCTGCCAGACTGCCATGCCCCAGTACGGCTGTGTGTGGTGTGAGGGGGAGCACCCGCGTTGTGTGGCCCGGGAAGCCTGCTATGAAGCTGAGACAGTGGCCACTCAGTGCCCTGCACCTCTCATCCACTCGGTATGTTGTAATGCTGGCGTGTCCCCTCCCTTACTGCTGGTCTTGGAAGGGAGGTTGTCTGTCATGGATGCACGGACTCAAAATAGGAAGCTGGGCCTGCCTCAGACCATGGAGGTTGACAGGAAAGTAGAAGTGAGTGTCCCTTGTCCTGGCAGGTGGAACCACTGACTGGACCTATAGACGGAGGTACCCGTGTCACCATCAGGGGCTCCAACCTGGGCCAGCACGTACGGGACGTGCTGGGCATGGTCAGAGTGGCTGCAGTGCCCTGTGCTGTCGATGCTGGGGAATACGAGGTCTCTAGTAGGTGAGCTGTTTGGGCCCAACACGGGAGGGCATGTGGCTAGATGGCTTCCTATCCAGGGCCTTCTTCCTCTGTTTGTCTGCTTTCCTTTCTCCTGTCTTTAATTATGGTGTCCGTGTCTTAGTGCTGGGTTACACGGAGGCCTGGGACCCTGGCTTCCTATGTATACCTGCTACAGGTCCCTCACCTGGGCTGCTTGGGGATTCTAGTCTGTTGGGCAGAAGTCACTGCTTGTAGCTTGCTGATGGCTCTGCTTAGATGTACTTCTTGGCTTTCTTAATGGCCTTGGATATAACTGTAGCAGATTCCTCAGCAGCCTCCTCCCCAGCACTTACTTCTGCAAGACCTACCCTGGCAGGGCTCTGGCGAGGGACTCCCATGGCACACCTCTAGAATGCCACAGGGAATATGGAACGTTCTCCAGGAGATACCCATGAGCAGCAGGGCCCAAACTTGGCAGAATATCAGGGTGACCTCTTGATTGCACCCTTAGAAGAGCTGTTGTAGATTCCCACGGTTTGCATTTTAGACAAGGGGTCACTTTATAGGGGCATGCACTTTCCCTCCAAATGTTAGGTAACTAAGAGCCCCCAGTGCCTCTTGACTATTAATAATTCTAGAAACATAAGACTTGGGTGATTTATGAAGTAATTTATGAAGTGTAAAATACATTCTGGCTGGAGCCTCCCTAGCTAGTTCATACCACTTGCTCTGTTTTGTTAGTGTTTGTGTTGACCGTGACAATGTTAGCCACTGTAGGCTTAACATTCTGGAAGTTAATATGCCCCAGGCTTCTGTTTTCTGGCCAAGAACCAGCATTCTTCGACAGCTCACGTCTGCCCTCAGTCCTGACTAGAGGCTTTCAGGAACTTTTTGTTCAAGATTAAATCAAATTTCCATCACTTTGCAAGTGGTTGCTGACCACGCAAAGATGGTGGGGGCTTGGGGTGGCTGGTGAGGCCTCTTATTCGCTCAGCTCTCCAGGGCTCCTTTGTAAACACTTGTCACATCAGAGAGATATGCTCCTCCGCATTGGAGGTTGTACCTGAATGACTGAACCAGGACTGTGACTTCTCTGATGCCAAAGCGTGCTAGTGTGCCGTAGGGACTTCCCTCCAAAGCTAGAGGGATGCTGACCCGTCTTATGGGGGATGGGTATGACAGATCACCTGGCAGTGGCAGGAAGAGGGTCTGCCAGGTCACTTTGAGGGACATCTGTGCTATCCCTTGCCTGTCTTGTGCCCTCAGTCTTGTGTGCGTCACTGGGACCACCCGGGAGGAAGTGACTGGCGCTGTGGCAGTGGAGGTGCCTGGAAGAGGGCGCAGTGTCTCAGAGTTCAACTTTGCCTACCAGGTGCCTGATGGCTAAGTCCCGTGTCCCCGTCCCCCCCTCCCCCCCCAGCTGCCACTCTCTGTGTGTCTCAGCACATTTGGCTTTGCCTTCATAACACGCCCCAAGCTGAGGCTGCCCTGTTTGTCTGAGGTGCCCCTGGCCTCTTATTTTGACCTGACTTTGTCTCTCCCCTTCCTCCTCCCACAGGATCCAAAAGTACACTCCATCTTCCCAGACCGAGGCCCCAGAGCCGGAGGCACCCGCCTCACGATTCATGGTTCTAAGCTCCTGACAGGGCTGCTAGAGGACATCCGTGTGGTGGTTGGTGACCAGCCTTGTCACTTGTAAGGGTTGTTTCTTGTTCTGTAAAATCCATGCACTCTGGGGAGGTGATTGGACAAGCCAGTGTGGAATAGGTCAAGTCTGCCCCGGGAGAAAGTTCTGGCATCCCCACAAAAGCTGGGCCTGTGGGAGAAGTACAACTTCAGGGTTATGTGATGGAGACTGCAGTTGGTGAGGAAGCAAAATGAGCCAAGATTTGAGCTGGTCACTGAGTCCTGGATCTGACCTCTCTTCTACCCCAACCCCAGGCTGCGGGAGCAGCAGTCTGAGCGGCTGTGCTGTGAGACCAGCCCTTATCCCGTGCCTGCTGAGCTTCCAGTGGCTGTCTGGTTTGGGACTACTGAGCGGAAGCTGCAGCATGGCCAATTCAAGTATACATCGGACCCCAATGTCACCTCTGTGGGCCCCACCAAGAGCTTCTTCAGGTGAGGCCAAAGTGTGTGTGTAGTTGTCCTCATGGTGGGGGAGATGGGGTCCTGGGAGTGGGAGTGTGAACCCCTTACTGTTGACAGAAGGGGTCATGGAGTTTGGCCTGAGCTGGCTAGAACTGGCTATGCTTTAGGTCCTGGTTTGTAAGTCATGAGTGGCTGTGTTTCAGTGGAGGACGTGAGATACGGGTCCGTGGCCAGAATCTGGATGTGGTACAGATGCCAAGAATCCGAGTGACTATGGTCCCAAGAATGCTACAGCCTGGCCAGGAGCTTGGACAGAGGCATCCTGTGGTCCCTGAGAAAGTATGTTGGTCTGGAGCATCATCACATAGCATGTCCATGACCCTCCCCTGCTTACAGCATGCTGCCCGTCTCTCCCCTCCCCTGTATACAACCTGTGGGCAGCCATGAGGTCGTTGGTACCAAAGGAGATGCTTTCCACCTTTGCTCACCTGCACATCTCCTGAGGTTCCTCCATGGAACTGCTCTCCTCTTCCTCTACAGATTGAGGAGCCTTGTCTTGTGAATTCCTCCCATCTTATCGTGTGCCGCACACCTGCCCTCCCCAGCCCACCAGAGGACCCTTGGGTCCAGGTGGAGTTTATCCTGGACAATGTGGTCTTTGACTTTGCTACACTGAGCGCCATACCCTTCTCCTATGAAGCTGACCCTACTTTGCATTCTCTCAACCCCGAGGATCCCACCACACCATTCCGGCACAAGCCAGGGAGTGTGTTCTCTGTGGAGGTAATGCACTTTCTTGGGCTCTTTCATAGGAGGACAGTATGTGTATGCTGGAGAGGTCAGGGTTGAAAGAGCAGGTCCTAAAGGGGGTTGGTACAGCATAGGTGCTATCCTGGGTCCTGGCAGGGATCTGAGGCTGTTTGGTTAAGTAGTAAATCAGTGGTTGGGTTAGTATGGTGCACATTAGGTAACTGGGCTTGCAATGGTGACACTAGATGTTTGTTGTGACACATACGCTGAGTAGCGTGTGGGCACTTGGACAGTCAGGTAATCCGTCATCATCTAGGCAAAGGTAACTCAAGAGTTAGTTAACTGAGGCTGTCCAGGTTTCAGCCATGAGAAGAAAGGTTGGAAGCACAGAGGAGGTTAAGGCGAGCAGTCTGACCATGGGCTCCGCCTGCAAGGGACACAGGCCTCTGGGCCATCCCTGTCCATTTGGGAAGGTAGGCTTCAGGTGTCAAGTGCTCTAACAGATCAGTGGCCCACTGTTCCAGGGGGAGAATCTCGACCTTGCCATGTCTAAGGAGGAGGTGGTGGCCATGATAGGAGATGGCCCCTGCGTGGTGAAGACACTGACCCGACACCACCTGTACTGTGAGCCGCCTGTGGAGCAGCCCCTGCCACAGCACCATGCCCTCCAGGAGGCACCAGATGCTTTGCCTGAGTTCACGGTCAGTGGGCAGAACCTGGGCAAGGTTGGCCATCACGGTATCTGGGGCCCAGACTCACAGGTAGCTTCCCACACAGGTACGGATGGGCAACCTACTCTTCTCCCTGGGCCACGTACAGTATGATGGCGAGAGCCCTGTGGCTTTTCCTGTGGCGGCCCAAGTGGGTTTGGGAGTAGGCACATCTCTCCTGGCCCTGGCTGTCATCATCATTGTTCTCATATACAGGTGCGTGTAGCCAATTATGCCAGGTAGGGAGATGATGCTGGACAGAGAAGGTACAGACTAGAGCAGGGCTCTGTAAAATTGTTTTGGTTTTTCGAGACAGGGTTTCTCTGTGTTGCCCTGGAACTTGCTCTGTAGACCAGGCTAGCCCCAAACTCCCAGAAATCCACCTGCTTTTTGCCTCCTGAGTGCTGGATGCTAGGTGCTGGATTAAAGTTGTGCACCACCACTGCCCAACTTTTTTTTTTTTTTTTTTTTTTTTTTTTTTATAGTATTTATTTTTTTACTGGCTGTGGTGGTGGTGCACACACACAAAAAAATTATGGGCATTGGTGTTTTGCCTGCATGTGTATCTATGTGAGGGTGTCTCATTCCCTGAAACTGGAGTTACAGACAGGTGTGAGCTGCCATGTGAGTGCTGGGAATTGAACCTGGGTCTTCTAAAGCGGCCAGTGCTCTTAACCTCTGGGAATGGGTGCAATAGACCCAATGGTGTCCCACAATCCTCCGTTCTGCCCTTGGGCATAAGAACAGCCATGGACAATGTGTAAACCATTGATTATACCTGAGTTCATAAAGATAGCTTGTGACCCCTATATGGCTTAGTCGGAGTTCACTGGGGACACGAGTGAATAAAGGGTAGATGTGCTTTGATGGGAATGGGACACAAATTGTTTTGGGTCAGGTTAACTGAGGTTGGTTTGGAGTAGTTAGGCAGGCCTGAGCCAAAACGAGCCCAGCAAGGGCTGGCCTTTCCCCTCTGCCCTCGGTGCTGAGTAGGAGGAAGAGCAAGCAGGCCCTGAGGGACTATAAGAAAGTGCAGATCCAGTTGGAGAATCTGGAGAGCAGTGTTCGGGACCGCTGTAAGAAGGAGTTTACAGGTGAGGCTGACGGTAGGAGCCGCCCCCGGGCTCTGGCGAGGCTGCTGTGGTCACATGGGATCCACTCACATTCCTCTGCTCAACAGACCTCATGACCGAGATGACCGACCTCACCAGTGACCTCCTTGGCAGCGGCATCCCCTTCCTTGACTACAAGGTGTATGCAGAGAGGGTCTTCTTCCCTGGGTACCGGGAGTCACCCTTGCACAGGGACCTCGGCGTGCCTGACAGCAGGCGACCCACTGTGGAACAGGGCCTGGGCCAGCTCTCCAACCTGCTTAACAGCAAGCTTTTCCTCACCAAGGTACACTCCCAGCCAGGTCTCCCCATCCCTTCTTACCTCCTCCTGTTTCCGAACGCACCCCTCACTCTTCCCCTCTCCCTGACCTTAGTTCATCCACACGCTGGAGAGTCAGCGAACCTTCTCTGCTCGGGACCGTGCCTATGTGGCATCTCTGCTCACTGTGGCACTTCACGGGAAGCTTGAATACTTCACTGACATCCTCCGTACTCTACTTAGTGACCTGGTGGCCCAATATGTGGCCAAGAACCCCAAGCTGATGCTGCGCAGGTATGTGGCTGTCAGAATGTAGGACAACCAGAGCAAGGAGTAGCCCTGGAGTCCCCTGCTGACCTGGCCTTCCCTTTGCTGCCATCTCAGGACAGAGACTGTGGTGGAGAAGCTGCTCACCAACTGGATGTCCATCTGCCTCTACACCTTTGTGAGGGTGAGGGAGGGGCCAATGTCTCTTCACTGGGGAGGGTCGGCCCTTTAGAACACTAAGTCTCCAGCCATCCATGTCACTTGCCCACTAATGCCCGAGGCAAGCTTTCATCCATCATGCCCTGTGTACTTTTGCCTTTTGCCAGAGGACCTGACTGCCCACACTTTCACAGGACTCTGTAGGAGAGCCTCTATACATGCTCTTTCGAGGGATTAAGCATCAAGTGGACAAGGGGCCCGTGGACAGTGTGACTGGCAAAGCCAAATATACCCTGAACGACAACCGCCTGCTCAGAGAGGATGTGGAGTACCGTCCCCTGGTGAGGGTGTGCTCTGGGCAGGTGTACATATGTCTGCTTACACCGACAGTTTCCACTGGCTTCTGGGGTGTGTACCCGGATATAGAGCTTATCTGACCTCTGGTTACCTGCTGGTGAGGCTGTTTATTCATTTATTGTGGTAGGAACACATGACCTCCCACATACTAGCAAGCCCCCGTCCAGCACGGAGCTACAGCCCTAGCATGGTAGGATTGAGATGGGGGTCTCAGAGGGTCCCTGGCTTAGGAGGGAAGCACAGCTCTGGCCCCAGTCAGAGTATCTTTCTTGCCATCTCACCAGGGATGCAGTCTGGTCCCTTAAGTCAGTAGCCACTTGGCAGGCTAGCCTGCCTGGAGCTTCCCTGTCACACACAAGGGAGGTCCTGCCTAGCTAGACTCCTCCAAACAGCTTCCCCATCAGGCTGCCTCAGACATGAAGGAGGGTTATGTGCTCCCTTGGGGGTTCTCCCATTCACCCCGTGCTCATTTGCATCAAGGGTGGAGGCAGACAGGTGAAGAGTTACAGCTGCTTGGTACTGGGCTGGGCTCAGAGGCTGCAGCCATTTCATGGGTTGTCCCTGCCCTTGACCTATGTCTTGGTCATCCTGCATGCAGAACCACTCCTGAAATTACTTGCATTTCTTGTGTAGACCTTGAATGCTCTTCTGGCTGTGGGGCCTGGCGCAGGAGAGGCCCAGGGTATAGCTGTGAAGGTCCTGGACTGTGACACCATCTCCCAAGCCAAGGAGAAGATGCTCGACCAGCTTTATAAGGGAGTGCCTCTTGCCCAACGGCCAGACTCTCGCACCTTGGATGTTGGTGAGTGTCAGGAACAGGGTGGCCTGAGGACCCTGAGATAGTGCTGGGCCTGAGTTGGCCTAAGATTGGTCTTAAGGGGGCAGGTGGGATGTTGGAAGTTGCTACAGAAGCTGGCTCTGGAATGTTATCAGATGAACTTTCACCTGGAGAGGGTGGGTGCAGCTACCTCCAGGTGGAGGAGAGGCCATGTCTCCATTCGAGGATGAGATGAGCTGCAAGGCCGGAAGAGAATCCTCCAAGCCTCGAGCCAAGTCCTCCCTTGTCCTTGCAGAATGGCGGTCTGGAGTGGCGGGCCACCTCATCCTTTCTGATGAAGATGTCACTTCTGAGGTCCAGGGTCTGTGGAGACGTCTCAATACCCTGCAGCATTACAAGGTAGGAGGGTTGGGAGCTGGAGGCTGGATAGGGTGGGCTAAGAGTGACTGGAGGGTCACCAGCTCTGGTTAGCAGGTTCCAGATGGAGCAACAGTGGCCCTAGTCCCCTGCCTTACAAAGCATGTGCTTAGGGAAAACCAGGATTACGTCCCTGGAGAACGTGAGTACCTACCTCCTCGTCGTGGTTTTCTGCATTTGTGTTGCCTAGTTGTGGGTAGCAGGGAAGGTCTCTCAGGCTGAGGGATGACGGGTGTCTCCTCAGAGGAGCCTCAGCCTGGTATCCCTCCTCCTGAGTGGTGAGAGCACCATGGGGGGGGCACCTAAACTCTTACATCTTGGCACAGGGACGCCAATGCTGGAAGACGTAGATGAGGGGGGCATCCGGCCCTGGCACCTGGTAAAGCCAAGTGAGGAGCCAGAACCTCCCAGGCCTCGGAGGGGCAGCCTTCGGGGTGGGGAGCGTGAGCGAGCCAAGGCCATTCCTGAGATCTACCTGACACGCCTGCTGTCCATGAAGGTGGGGCTGGGTTGTTACTAGGAAGAATGGCTTCCCAGAGGACATGGGATGATGTGGGGCTTGTACAAGGGAGTGGCTGCTGCTGTGGTCTCTTCCTCACTGGGCTCTCATTCCGTTTCTTCCCACAGGGCACACTGCAGAAGTTTGTGGATGACCTGTTCCAGGTGATTCTCGGCGCCAGCCGCCCCGTGCCGCTGGCTGTCAAGTACTTCTTTGACTTGCTAGATGAACAGGCTCAGCAGCACGGCATCTCCGATCAGGATACCATCCACATCTGGAAGACCAACAGGTATGGGAGGAACAGGCTCAGGACATACGTCGGGCCCCCCTGCCTCCCTCCCAGCATAGTTACTTGCCCTTTCTCCCCAATTTGCAGCCTGCCGCTGAGATTCTGGATTAACATCATCAAAAACCCACAGTTCGTGTTCGATGTGCAGACGTCTGACAACATGGAGGCAGTGCTCCTCGTCATTGCACAGACCTTCATGGATGCCTGCACCCTGGCCGACCACAAACTGGGCAGGGTGAGCAGGCTGGGATCACCCAGGTGGCCTGTGTGGGTGTGGAAAGTGGAGTGTAGGTCGTTTTAGTTGTAAAACTGTGAGGATGCTGGGAACCTCAGGTGCTGATCACCTTGAACTTTGACCTTCTCTCTGCCCTCTCTGCCGGTGTCCAGGACTCCCCCATCAACAAGCTTCTGTATGCTCGAGATATTCCCCGTTACAAACAGATGGTAGAAAGGTACTGACTGGGGAGACGGAGACATGGGGGTATGCGTGCAGCTGAGGCCCTCGGTGGGCCCTGATGAGGCCAAGGAAGTGGTTTTTTTTTTTTTTTTTTTTAGCATCTGCTCTCCCTGGCAGGTACTATACAGACATCAGACAGACTGTCCCGGCCAGTGACCAAGAGATGAACTCAGTCCTAGCAGAGCTGTCCCGGGTAAGGCCTCCCCTTCGTGTGTCTTGACTGTAGAGAAGCCCCTGTCACTTCTATACCCCTGATCAGGCTGGGAAAGGACACACACTGTCACCATATGGGCAGAGTATTCTAATGTCAATGTTACTCAAAAAGGCCAGGCCTCCTAGCATCTCAGAGTGAGTGAGCAGGGATCTCATTTTGATAGCTGTCATCTAATCTGATCTAGCCAGGTGCTTGTACCGTTGCGGCCCTTGTTAGGGTCTGCTGAGTGGATAGAATTCAGCTCTAGGCCTTTTCAGTCTACCTGCCTGTGCTGTCACTGTTCTGCTACCATGTGGCACTGTCCGCATACACACGAGAACTTTAGGAACGATGGACAGTGTTCCTCAAGTGGTTACAAGGATACCCACACTACCAATAGCAGCTCTGCTTTGGGGTACAGCTGTGTCAAGCCCTTCATGAGGGTGTACTTCTGCATTTGATCCCTCTAAGAGCTCCATGAGTTACTTAGGCTACGTCAGCATTACTGTCCAGAGAAGGAGGCTGAGGGTCTGCTGTCCCAGTAAGGCCTTGGCCTCAGGAAACATTTGAGAAAGAGCAGAGCAAAATGATGCTGCGTTCCCAGCCAGCCGCTTGGAGTGAACGGGAGGGATATCTAGCAATATAGCCTTGCCTGGGAAAGGCAGGCGGGGCTCCCGTGGAAAGTCCAGTCCTGCTGAAACTCGTCCTGGGGTTTCTTCCTCCACGGATTCTTGACCTTAGCCTGCCTGAGCTGTAGTCGCGCTGTGCCTTGGGTCCCTGCTTGCTACAACAGGACCCATTCTTTCTCAGGTCCCTTCTGTACTCTCATCCTTCTCTGGGGTCCTGGGCCTCTTCCCCCAGCTTCCCTTACTCTCACCTTGTATTTGCCCTCTTTCCTAGAACTACTCTGGCGACCTTGGGGCACGTGTGGCTCTGCACGAACTCTACAAGTATATCAACAAGTACTATGACCAGGTGAGCACACCCTGGGCCCTGTTGTTCTGAGCATCTGTTAGTCATTCTGTGAGTGCTTAGAATCACCACATTCATGTGGCACCAGCGATGTCCCTGTCACTGTTGAGAGGAACCTGTATCATGGCCCACAGCCTCCTTCCTCCCATACCATATCCTCCTGGTCTTGGCACATAGAATCATGAGATGCCATTGGCAGGCAGGGCCGGGCAGGCAGGCAGGCAGGGCCGTGGGGATGGCTTTGGCAGACCTTGTGAGAAGGCCATGTATGTGTAAAGCTGGCTTCTACCCGAGATGAGCTGGGCAAGGAGAGAATGTTGGGGAATGAGTAAAGTATGCCATTCCCTAAGCGCCTACTCTCTAACATCTGTGTGGCGGTACATGCATGACTGTATGTATGCTCAGCATGGGAGTAAGGCCATACTGAGACCCTGTCTCAAAAACCAAAGCACGCTGTGATGACCTTGTTCTGTTTTCTCCCTGACAGTAAGGGAGGTGATTCACTGGGTTTCTCGTGCTTCACGCTGACTGTGCTATCGCCCGTAGGCCTGCCGAAGTCCATCCGCAGCACTCGTGGGGGCCGGGGACATCTTACCTGATTCTGTTGCTTCTGCCTTGCAGATCATCACTGCCCTGGAGGAGGATGGCACTGCTCAGAAGATGCAGCTCGGGTACCGGCTCCAGCAGATTGCTGCTGCTGTGGAAAATAAGGTCACAGATCTATAGGGACCAGGGAGTCCTGGCCGGCTGTTGTCTCAGCACCCCCTGGGCAGCCCTGGGATCGCAAGGAGAGGCCACCCTCGTAGATGCCTGTAGTGACTGAGAAGCGGAGTTTAATGAAAGGTGGCTCCCAAACTCCCGCTGGCTTCGGCCTCGGCCCACTTGGGCCCACCTTGTAGGCATGGGACCTGCTGGCTCAGTTGGTAGTACCAGGCCTGCCCCAAGAATGGTGACTCTGTGACATACTTGCTGGGTGACGCCAGCCTGCAGGAAACTGAGGACTTAGGGTTTCCAGAGAATGTCTGGTAAGGCCCCTGGGGAGACTGTACTGTTGTTAAGCACTGGCCTGTGTCCTATCAGAAATCAGAGGAAGGAAGAACGCCCTCCCACTTCCTGTCCTCTTCATCCATCCATCCTCGACCTCAGTTTAGCTTCCTCTGCCCTTGTTCCCGGTTGCCAATTGAGGGGGGGGGGCTTTCTGGGCTGCTGCTGCCTGAGCAGGCACGGTGCCTCAGGCCCACCCTGTCTTCAGGTGGCTGGTGGGGAAGGACAGCACTGGCCCACGGATGCTGCAGCTCTTCACTCAAGGGGAACACATGGTGTGGAGTCTGAGATGGACGCACTGGCCCTTCCGCTAACTGGCAGTGGTTGGGGGACATGGGCACAGTCACACTGAAGGGTCTCCTGACCTCTCTGAAAGGCCCTACACTGCAGGCAGGCAGTTTCTCGCTGGCTCCTCGGTGGGGTCAGCTTCCTGGAAAGGAGCATATAGGGCTCAGGGAGATCTGGGCCCTGGTGAGGAGGGCAGGTTCTCCATCTCCAAGGGGTCCCCCTTGGTTGCAGGTTGTGCTAACTTCATGTTCCATACATTTTCTAAGGAATTGGGAAAGCGTGGCATCATTAAAGGTGACTGCAGGCACTGTGGGTCTCAAGGGTCCTGGTCCATGGCCCTGTTTCTAGACCTGACTTCCATGTTGCTGTCCTTGTCAGGGTACTTAAGGCAGGGCTCACAGCCAACCACCTGCCTGTGTGGTGGCCCCGTAGCTGGTATTTCCCTGTTTGAAGCTGTAGATGAGCTTCAAGGCCACTGTACGGAGATGTCCGTGGCCAGCTGGGTCAGTAGTGCTGGAGGTTGAGGACACACTAGGCCTTTCTAGGTGAGGGCCTCAGTGTCGTCCTCAGAGCGCTCCCCCTGGGCCTTGCTATTGTATACCACCCGTGATCCAGCCACCTGTGGGGCCTTCCCTGAGGGTTTGAAGAGATGGGCTGATAGGGTTCCAGGAAGAGTCCTTTCTTTTCATCCCTAAAGTCCTTGTCCTCAGGATAGATAGCAGGAGCCATGTTGGTTTTCATTCCAGGGGTAATCACAGCTGCTATTTCTGTCATCTCTAACATCCTGTCTGCCCATGCCTGCCAGATGTGAGGAGCCACAGTCGCAGATGGGGTCAGCAGTCAGGCCCTCACTTGGGAGCATGTGAACCTCAGTACTAATCATAGCTGCCTTAGTCCAGATTTTATCCTCACTCAGTGTTTCTGCCTCCCCCATGGCTAACCATGGGGTTGAGTCTAGGAACAAGGCTGACAAGGGAATGAGGTCTTGGCTAGACTTCAGACAGGCAGAGAGGGAGCGACAGAGCTGCACCTCTGCCCCAGGCTTGGGCTTCCGCGGTCTTTGGGAGTCTTGTGAGGAGGTGCAGGTTCCTGGGGAGCAAGGCTTTCAAGTACCTGCACGCTTGGGCAAGCGCTCGCGGGAAGGGCGGGCACTGAACGTGCACTGAGTCACTCATGTCTCACCCTCACGGAACATTGTGATAGAGGATGTCATGAAAATAAAAACCTTACCACATAAGAGCTGAGTCTTCACTCAAACACCATGGCTAAGAATGGCAATGCCAGAGCCAGCAGAGTGTGGTGGTGGCTCCCCTGGGTCTCGGCCAGCTTCAGTTATAGAATGTTTATAATGTACTTTGACTTTTTCCCTTTTCTCCCCAAGTTTGCAAAGGGGTGCCCTCCTTGTCTCCCACAAACAAAGGCCCTTTGTTTCTCATTTTCCCTACCAATTTAAATACTGGAATAATTGTCCAGATGAATATGTGTATTCCTTAAGACAGGGCTTCACTGTTTCTCCTTGGCTGGTCTGGAACTTGCTGTGTAGATCGGCTTGGCCTTGAATTCAAAGTCAGACTCTGCCTCCTGAGTGCTGGAACTAAAGGTGTGCGTTACCACAGCCAGCACATTATATATTTGTATTAATTCTTCTAGAAGAATGGGGCTTCTGGGTGTCACATCTACTGTGCTGATTAGCACCAGGGTCACTTTGGAGGTCACTTGAGCCTTGGGAAGGAGCAGAAGCACTCTAGGAGACTGCTGACTGATAACCCCAAGTCTGGACTGTGCTGGGCCATAGTGTAGACCGACCTGGTCTTTCCTCTTGTGCAATAATGCCTATGAGTGTGTGTGTCATCACACTCCTGTGGGAGAACACATTAAAAAAACACATATCCAAATCACCTCGGTCAGCTAAGGCATGGGTCCAGGGCTTCGTCTGTTTTCAAGATCCTGTATCAAAAATAAAGGGCTGGGAAGGCCATACAGTGGTTAAAAGCAGTTGCTCTTCCAGAGGACCTGAGTTCAGTTCCCAGGTACCCACATTAGGCGGCTCACAAGTATGTTTCCATTTCCAGGGGATTTGATGCCACCTTGCCTCTAGGTCACTGTCACTCACACACACATTTCCCATGACACAAATACACGTGATTACACATGATAAAGTCTTATATCTGGCTGGGCATTGGTCTCAGTATTTGGGAGGCAGAGACAAGAGGATCTCTGTGAGTTCGAGGCCAGCCTGGTCTACAGAGGAAGTTCCAGGACAGGCCCCAAAGCCACAGAAAAACCATGTCTCAAAAAACAAAAAGTCTTATCTGTGTAGGTTTATTTGAGAAAGGGTGTCTGACTAGGTTAGCCTAGTTTTTGCAGTAATGTTTCTGCCTCAGCCTCCTGAGTACAGAGATAACAGCTCTGTGCTACCAGGCCTGGCTGAATCTCAGAAGTTGGCTCTTGCAGAGGGCCCAGATTTTATTCCCATCACCCATATGTTAGCTCACAGCTGTCTATAACTCTAGGCCCAGGAGTTCCAGTATCATCTTCTGAGCTCTGTGGGCAGCAGGCACACACATAGTGTAGAAACATGTAGGCAAAACTCATTATTTTTGTTTTTAAGACAGGGTTTCTCTGTGTAGTCCTGGCTGTCCTGGAAGTCACTCTGTAGACCAGGCTGGCCTTGAACTCGAGATTCTCCTGCCAAGTGCTTGGGTTAAAGTAGTGCACCACCACCTCAGTATTAACTTTTTAAAAAGCTTTCTGTTCTTGCCCAGTGGTGGTGACATACACCTTCAATCCCAGCACTTGGGAGGCAGAGTGAGTCATATCTGTGCGTTAAAGAACAGGCTCCAAAGATACAGAGAAACCCTGGTCTACACATTAAATTCTAAACCCGTCAAGGGTAGACAGGCATCTTTTCTTTAAAAAAAAAAAAAGGGGGGGTGTGATAGTTTATCCCATTCCAAACTTACCTGGGGGGATGGGGGAGACTCCTTCCAAGTGCTTGGATTTTCTGACTGACATACTACTCCTGAGACCTATGTACAGGCTGTCTACTCCGGAGAACCAGCAGATGTAGGAACTGCTGGTTTCTGGCTTCATACTGCCATCTTCTGGCCGTGGTGTAGAATTGAGATGGCTCTGCAGTTAAAAGCACTTGGCTGTTGTTCCTTGAGAAAGAAGCATGGTCCTCAGCGCCCATATTAGGTATCTTACAACCATCTGTAACTGCAGCTCCAGGAGATGCGACAAGTCTGTCCTCTGTGAGCACCTGAACTCAGGTATACATGTGGGCACAAACATTTACACATAATCACAGTGGACTCCAGTGCTAAAGCCACGCTCTAGAAGCAAGTTGGGAGCCAGCTACATTTAAGGACAGAAAATGATAGCATAGCAGTGAGTAGCCCGCAGGAAAGCCATTGTGGGTGTTCCCAACAGTGGTGGTGACTGCTGTTACAGGAAGGGTGGCAGAAGAGAAGTTGGAGGTTAGTCATCCACAGCATGGGCCACAGGCGCTTACAGCCTGCAAGGATGAGCGACGGATGTAAGGAGCAGGGAAGTTGTTACCATACCCTTGGCTCAGGCTTGGGATTTGGTAGGTTGCTGATGCCAGGATGCTTTATTGCCACGGTGAATATCTGCTACCAAGAGGAGGATTCAAGTTCCTGTTACTTCCCTCCACACTGGACGTTAACTGCCTTCCCAGATATAAGGCCCAAGCCCTGGGTTGCAGAGTGCCTGGAACCCCAAAATGGGAGGTGAGAGACCAGAGTCTAATTTCACTTCCCTGAGTGGCTGGGTATCTTCAGAGAAGGGAAGCAGCATTATGGTGCAGGGCATGCATCCTGTGGCGGGTGACATGTTAAGCTGGCTTCTGGAAGGATTTAATGAAGCAGTAACTACTAGATTGGTCCAGGTCCAAGCAGGGCATTGATGGCATGGACCAGGAAAGAGGTGTTTGTCCAGAGCCCTACTTAACAGGTGGTGGGCATTAGAGAAGCCACTGAGGGGGTGTGAATTACAAGCTGTCATCAGTCCAGGTCTCTGTATCGGAGATGGAGCAGCTGTCACTAGCCTTGAGCTTGGACAAGAACAGGCAGCTAGCTAAGGGGAGGACTAGCTGAGGGAAGCACACTACACAGGTACTACATCTACTCCGGGAGGATGCTGGGGGGATAATGACCCAGGTCGCTTTCCCCCGTAGCCAGGCTTCTTTTAGTTTGAAAGCTCGAGGGCAGCTCTGCAGTGCAGAGCCAGGTGGAAAGCAATAAAGGACAAATGGTGTAACCGGCCTCAGCACCTCGCATGCCAACCCTGTAGGTGAGCAGTGGGGTCTCTGTGCAAGGCTGTTTCCTGCCACAGCAAGAATGGGCCCTGAGTCTCTTGGCTTTCAGGACCCTCGCTCTCCCCCATTCCCTGGTGCTCCTTGAGAGGAGCCGCACAAACTACCTGGAAGACGTCGGAAATTTCAACTTTCAGAGCTGGTGGCGCTCCTATGCCGTCTGTCCAGGCTGCAATCCAAGGACAAACACCAAGCTTCAGGCTGTGGAAGACAAGGTCTCAGTCTATAGCTTCATCTCAGGGCCTAAGAATTCAGCCAGAGCTTCCCCTTCCATCAGTCAGTCCTAACCCTGCCCAAGAAGCCCCCGTGAGGTAGCCTTCATTGTAAGAGCCCTGGTCAGCTCCAGGCTCTCCTTGCCCAGAGCCCACTCCATGCAGGTTTCTCAGAAGATGGGAAAAAGAGGGAGGAGCAGAAGGTGTAAATTCCATTTTGGCCCCTCCCGAGGGGGAAGGTAGAGTGATTGTATGAAAGGGCAGAAGACCTGGGTCTCCACTGAGACGCTGTCCTTATCATACACTACACAGGGCCTTCTGTCCACAGGGCCGCTCTGAAACAGAATATTAAAATCTAATGTTCTCCCTCCGTCTCCCCTTCCCTTTCCCCCTCTCTCCCCATATTTAACTCTACCTGACCTTCTCTTCCACAGTAATCAGATAAATGGGTTTTTTGGAACTCACTGTAGACCAGGCCGGCTTTGAATTCAGAGATCCACCTGCCTCTGCTTCGCTGTGGATTTGCTGGTCAGGAACAGGCAGGCCTCTAGGCAGCTGCCTGCTCTAGCCTGTCCACTGCGTAACATGCCAGGAACTCTGCACAACTAGTCAGTAAGAACAACCTGAAGAAATAACCATTTTGGCAAAAATAATTAAATATGCAGAACTGGAAAATGTGAGCAGTGATTAGGTCAGGTCTGTGTACCTGGCCATGGACTGCAGCCATGAGACGGTGCCTACACAGTCTCCAGTCATCTCTTTGTAGAAAATAATCCTGAAAGCATTGTCCACTGACCGGTCATCTTGTGACCAGCAAGCTCATGAATTAATAAATTCTTTGTCATGGTCAGGCAGGGATGGCTCACACCTTTAATCCCAGCATTCAGGAGGCAGAGGTAAGCAAAGCTCTGTGAGTTTGAGGCCAGCCTGGTCTACAGAGTTTCAGGACAGCTGGAGCCACACAGAGAAACCCCGTCTTGGAAAAAAACAAAACAAAGTTTTTTTGTTTGTTTTTTGATTTTTGTTTTTCATGTACCCTTGCTTGGTTGGAGTTTTCAGGCTTTGAGCAGAATATGTCACCATACACATGTGGTCAGAGAAAAACTTGAGGGAATCAGTTCTCTGCCACCAAGTAGGCCCAATTAAAAACAGGTCATCAGAATCTCAGGGGCCCCCACCTGCCCTTTTAAAAAACAAACACACACACACACACACAAGCATCTGGCTTTGTATTAAGTCGCATTCTCAGTGGGATTTTTGTTTGGTTTTGAGACAGGGTTTCTCTGTGTAACAGCTTGAGCTGCCCTGCAACTTGCTTTTTAGCCTAGGTTGGTGGGCCTCCGACTCAGAGATCTGCTTGCCACTGCTGCCTGAGTGCTGGGAATAAAGGTGTGTGCCATCACCACTTTCTTGGTGGGATTTTTTGCAGTGTCAAGGCAGCACAATAAGACTTGTATTCATTGGTCAGTTTTTGACACTGGGCCCAGCCAACATAACTGCAGACTGAAGAGAACTCATGCAGCCTTTCCAGCGCAAACAGTCCAAGGTCAGCATAATCTTAGACCATAGAAGTACTCACATCTCATTATCATTCGTTATGGGGAAAAGTATTTGCTGAGTGCCAGCCACCCAGAGAACCCTACTCTCAGAATGTCCTTCTCAGAGTTCAAATGGCCACAGTTGCTAAGCTG